TTTCCTTTCCTTTCCTTTCCTTTCCTTTCCTTTCCTTTCCTTTCCTTTCCTTTCCTTTCCTTTCCTTTCCTTTCCTTTCCCTCTATTATCTATAGATGTGTGCATAGTGGATACTGTTGCTGCAAATATGTTTTCATAACACTTAGCTTTTTTTGAAACTTCTATATTCTAAATTGTTGACCATCATATATTTTTAAAAAATAATATATTAATCCCACTAAATGTGGAAACAAAAAAAATATCATAATTTCAACTTTTTATTCATCAAGTCAGTGAAGTACTATTACTTTTTTTTACAAAAACTGAAAGTAATTGTTTAGCCACATGCATTCTCTCATAGTTCTAATGTATTATGGCTTAACATTTGCTTTTTAACTAAAAAGTAATTTTCTCCCTTCTTTATTGGTTATTTTCTAGGAGCTGGGCCTTGTGATTACAGGAACCCTGCCTGTCTTCAATCTAACAAGGGAACAAAATGGGAAAATCGTAAGCTGTTCCTTCAAGAAAAAAAAAACAAAAAACAAAAAACAGCAGTCATATAAATTAAATTTAATGTTAATTACCTTGAAAAATACATATTTCCATGCAACATTTTGCAGTGTAATTGTCTTGTACATCAGAAACAAAGGGGTCATATCTACTTACCCAATAACCTCCTGGGAACAAGAAAATGCAGTGCATTCTTTCTACCCTTTGATCATTCTGAGTTCCAGGGTGTGACGTTCCACTGTCTATCCCTGTGCCTTAGTGGCAGTGGGAATGCATTAAGTGCTCAATAGATGAGAAGTAGATGATGATTTTATTTAGCCCTTTCCAAGAAGTAATGTCTACATAAATTTCTAGCAAATCTCTGAGGCTATGACATTTCAGGGTAAAAGGCAGTGATGCAGAGAATATAAATTAGTTGGTCGTAACAATAATAGAAAAGAGCATTGTATACTTAGACTAAATTCTAAGTGTTAAATAAATGCAATTGCATATCCCTATTACTCTCTGACATGGAATCTGTGTCCTCTTCACAAAACAAAAAACAGACCTGGAATATACTTGAACAATGTGTGGTAAAATATTGTACTTTAGATATACTCCCTTCAGGTCAAAATATACAAAAATATAGAAAAAATATTTGATTCAGTTCCTCAGCTATTACATAGACTCAGAATGAATCAATAAGGGTTTGATCACTGCCATTTCTTTAGTTTACTTTCAGAATAGTTCTCTAAGTTTCCCTTTAAAAACAAAGCAATAAACAAAAAAAGTTGCATAATCTTATCTACAAGACAATGCCTGGAATTGTCTGAGTCTGGTTCAAAGTGACAGACTACTGATTATCAAAGGATGTCTCTCTGAGAAGTAAAACAGATGTGATCTGGTACACAGGATGAAGAAGCGAATTTGAATCTGCTCAATTTGTACCTCTACCTGAATTTATTTACAGGCTGCAACATACCTCCTCCAATAAATTTTACAAATTTATTTAATATGGAGAAGGAATTCAGGTGACACTATGTAAATGACTGCCCTCCTTTTCTATAGTAGGAAAATAAATTATAAGCAAAATAAATGTAGTGCCTGAGTCCCTGACTTCAAATGCTGATGATTCTTATATTCAGTGGGGTTTTTTTGTTGTGTTGGAATATTTTTCATTCATCAATATACTGTAGCCCAAAGAGTTTTGAGATTTCACTTACCAACTGCCCAACCTAAGCAGATAAAGTAGCTCTATGTTGGTGCGGGTAGTTTAGTATCTGCATAACTGGCACTATTATTGCATCACATTTGCTTTCACCTTTTTTGTTCTTATATATATTGTTTATTCATCCTGGAAAGTATCCATCTTCAGAAATAGTTTCCATACTCTATACTAAATTCTAAATTTTTAAAATTTTATTTTGGATCACTTTGACACTATTTAAAATATTCAGAATAGACTCATAACTAAATAGACAGCTTCTCAAATCTATCTTTCAAACAAGAGATGAAGGCAAAAATAAAAGTTTACAGACTGTTGCAGTTATTCTGCATTGGAAATATGTCAAATGCATACTAACATTTTGGGATTTTACCAGAATCAGCTGATTCTTGGAGTAATGGGAGTTGATGTCTCTTTGGAGGACATAAAAAAACTGACACCCCGATTTACGGTAAGCTGCTTGCATTGGTGGTTTTTCATGATGTATGTTTAATGTGTGATTTCTGTGCATGCTCTTTCATAAGTCATACAGCAATGACTGGATTTGAGTCAAATCACCAGCAGGCTTCTTTTCATATATTCTTTTCTATTGTTGTACATTTTCTGGTGGTTTTCTCTCCAGCTGTATATGTGCTTCTGTGCAATTTGCCCATCAGGATGCACTGTGTAAAAGTCAGCTTTGACATTGGGGGATATATTACAAGTAATTATCTTCCTATATCTTAAGGCACTGCTCTTTATTTAAGTGTTTGGTTCTTAATGTAGAGTACACAATTATTTCAGCTGATAGTATTTGCCATTTATCTAGGACTGCTCTTTGTAGAAAATTTCTTTCATATAGGTGTCTGTGTGTACCCTACTCTGTATGACTGACTTATTTATGTAGACACCTAGCTGTGGAATTTCTATGAAAATAACTAGTGCTGTGGAAAACAAAAGCTGAAGAAGAAAAGGAACATCCCAAATGTGACTGAAGGCAGATCCACAGTCCTACATTTAGAATGGAATAATCCCACATCACAGCTCAGGCTGGGACAGGCTGCCTCAAAGGGCAGGAAAGGACCTGGGAGTTGTGGTGGAGGACACGTAGAACATGAGTTAGCAGTGTGCCCCTTGCAGTAAAAACCAGCTGTGCAGTAAACATCTGCATCAGGATGTCCAAATTTGATCTCCTCAGTATAATAAATACTCTGAGGCCCAGTGCAGAGCCATTTAGCTGGCTAAGGGTCTGCAGTGCCTGGTACACAGGAAGAAGCTGAGAGAGATGGATTTGGGCTGAAGAAGGAGCCAAAGGGTTAGCTAATGGAATTCTGGAGAAAATGGACCTTGACATTGCCTCAAAAGAGGCTACCAGCATAGGTGTGGCAATGGAAATTCCATCTGAAATCACGGAAGAAGGAGAGCAGGCTGCTCAGAGAGGTTGTGGAATTGCCACTGGAGGTATTCAAAGACCTGCTGTAACCTAGTCCAACTTCGAAGTTGGACTTTAAAAATAAAGTTAGCTTTGCTTTCAGTGAAAGGTTGTACCAGCTGATCTTCAGAGGTCCCATCAGCCTAAATCATTCTTCAAGTTTATGATCCTAGAAGAGTAAAATTAAGAAATCATCTTGTCTGTGTTAGTAATCTTATACTTCATCATCCCTGAGACGTATGTTTTCCACAATGTGAGCATTTCTTGAAAAACATTAATTACTCTTTCTTCGTTATTTAAAACCATATAATGCTAAACTCAATTTCTTAATTTCAGCTTTGTCCAAATGGTTACTATTTTGCAATTGATCCTAATGGGTATGTGCTACTGCATCCAAATCTCCAACCAAAGGTATGAAACACCTTCTAATTTACTTCTCTGTAACAAAGTAATATTGTCAAAAAAAATTAGAAACTAGGATTGCTGAAGGCAGCAATAGTGAAAATTCTCAGTTTTGTGGGAGTTAGGAAAATCTGCAGTGCATATATGGCTTCATCCAAATCCACCAGCTTTGGCTTGTATTGAATGTGGTTATTAATAAAATAAAAATATGCATATTTTGAATGCACATTTATATATGTGAAGTGTTTTAATATATATGTTAATATGAAAACAATTAGTGGTAGCTGTAATATCGTTGTGAAAACAGTATAATTATTGTGAAGAATCTTGAAGCAAACGGAGGAGTTTTTGTGCTCTTCTTTTGTGATGCTTTCTCATTTAAAAGATTGAAATTTTCATACTTGCAAAAACAAAGAAATTGGAGGCAAACACAATGCATTTTATTTGAATTCTTGTATTTATTTGCTTATTTTCTGTTTACCATACCTGAAACTTGATCTCACAATTGGAATGGATTTAGCTGAGCACCCCTTCCCAAAATGCTAGATTTTAGTAGTTTAACTTGAGAAAGGTCGTTCATGTTTAAACATGTTTTTTTTTTTCTAAATATGATTAAAATACAACTTTCATTAAATTTCAGGAAAATAGAAGCCAAATATTTCAGTTTGGCTCTTTATCCATTGACTGTAGTCCTTACCTTGTGGAGAATCCTTCATTGTCTCTCTTGTTAAATAACTTGCCTCTCTGACTTTGATGAGAAATTTCAACATTAATGGATGATTTTTTTCCTGAAATCAGAACTTTGATCTTAATGTAAGGTTTCTCCATATGAAACAACCTGCTTGTGGAAGAAGTCTAGTGGACTTCTTGAAAATTCTCATATTTTAATTCCATATTTTCAGTGAACTTTGTCTTTTGAATTCTTAAGGTTATATTATATAAAGAAAAAGTTAAAATAACTTCTCTAATTGTTGAAGACAAAAGACGAAATTAAGAATTCATCTACATATTTTAGTGATTAATTCTTAAGCTGGGAGAAGACAGCTTTGTGAATATTTGAATTAATTTCCTGGTGTAGCAATTAATATATTTGAAAATTTTTTGCCAAGTAACACAAGAACGAAAAAGTCCTTCTGAAGAAGAGAAAGAATAACTTGACTGTAACTATTAATGAGATATCCCTTTTGATTTATTTTGAAAGACACTTAAAAAACAAAAAGGAAAACTATGGAAAGGAAGGTTTTTATATTGTCTTCATAACTGAGCAGGACTTCAGTTTCTGCATACCTGCATTTGATTTTTATGTCTTACAAAATGGAAGTCTTGATGATTTTTCTTAGTGAATTCTTCAGACACAAATATCTGCATTATTACTGACCCAAATTTTTATTAATTAGAGGTTATTAGTAATTAGGTAATGGTGATTGGCTTATTTATCTTTCCCTTGTGTACAAATTGAGCTGCCTTTTCATTCACAAGAGTAATGTAACAAGAAGCAATGCAGTTATCTTATTTTGGACCTAATTTTGTGAGAAACTGGTGGATATGGACTCTGTTCATCTCAGATGTTCTGTTATCTTGCAGTGTTGCCTCACAATATGGAAGAATAAAAAACCTTTGTTAAAACTCAGCTCATCCCAACTAAATCTAGGCAAACTGAGATGGATTATTAGGATAGTAATTGTCATGGTTTCTCTAAGTAGTTTTCTTCTAAAAAGGATATGGAAGTCCAGTGATGCTTTCCCTTAATGCATAAAACTTTGAATTTAGAGTATGTTTAAAACAGGATGTTTTATGAGTAATAGTTTTTATGTTGTAGAATAATGTCTAAATGTAATATTAAGCATTTGCATTATTATTGTTATTGTTGTTATTAACAGTTACACAGACTAGACTTTTTCACTCCCAGTTTGTGTGGGGTGGTGCATGCTATTCAGACTGATACAAGAACTGCAGTTTAAAACTCAGGTACACGACAAAGACAGATATATTTAGAATTCATGGACTTTCTTTAACATATCATATTAATTTTAGTTGAACCTCCCAGTAGCTGTTAACTTATTAACAAAGAACTTCTTAACCCTCTTTGCCAGCAATTTTTCAATAGATGTAAAGTAAAACATAACTACATCTTCACCTTTGAAGAGGTGAGGGCTCCTTAGACTTCCAGTGCTTCCTTCTTTTGAATGTTTTCTGCTTTCTTCTGAAAATCTATTTCCTCAAATCACAACTGGTTCAACACAATATTTTGAGAAATTGTCTTGAAGTTACTAAAGTTGTCTGCACAACTGAGAAGAGTTAACAAACAACAACTTCAAAAGAATACTAAAATAATTTTAAAATTTCCCATCATGTTCCTATTTGCAGAACTGTATGAAAATTATGTGAAGGCTTAGCAAGAAATCTTTTTTTTTTTTTTTTTTAATTTGCAGCTTAATATATTTTTAAACAGCTTAAACCATTTTTATGTTTGTGTAATTAGTTACATTTTTTTTGAAGTGCTGAATTTTATGTTTTATTGCAAATTTTCTTTGTGTGTGTCTGCATATATGGATGTATTTTTCCCATGGTTGTGGGAGAGAACAGGTGGATGCACCACCAAATAAACATAGTCACTGAAGTGAGTCCATTAAGCATAGGTTAACAAGCTTAATCTTAATTACATTTTGAAAACAGTAAATAATTCTATTTCTAAATCTATTTTAAATATTAGAATCGTTCTCTTCATTTTTACTATGGTTCTGATCAAAACCCATTTAATGGTAGTCCTAAAACTCCATATGCCTTCAGTAAGGTCCAATATTCTTCTATACTATTTAGGGTTATTCAATAAATTTAAGAGGACCTGGGTTTTAAGATCAAACATAAAAGTAAACAAAAAGTGAGCTATTCTCATTCTGTATTTTATTCTGTCAGAATATGTGGAAGGGAGAGCTCTCTGTTAATTTTATTCACATTAACATATGTCTGATTTTTTTTTCCCTATCCAAAACCTGTGTGTAACTCTGGCAGAGAGCTCGGAATTCATAATCAGGAAGAGGGGTAGACTCTGCTTGCAGTACTAAACTGCACAGTGGACAGCACAGATGTTGAGAAAACACTTCCATTCTATAAGTAGGCTGTTTACTAATAGTGCAAATATATAAATTACTGCTTTTTTGTTACTTCAGCAAATTGGTGTGGGCATACCAAAAGTTAAATTGAGAAAAAGGAGACCCAATGTACAGGTAACTTTGGATGGAGGTGATTAGTGCATTAGAATGCATAGACCTGGAAATATAATTAGAAAGCTTCTGCCCTGCTTACTAGGAAAAATCTTACTAGAGAACTGTTTATTGTGACAAACAGCTTCCAAAGCATGAGGCTTGCATCCTTTCCTGTTTAAATAATAGAAAACATGCTATTGGCTGTAGTGAAGGGCATTCCATTAAATTATAGTGCTTTACTAATAGGTGCTAATTAGAGTCGTGCTGTAAAAATTCTTGAGATGTTGAAATTATTTGAAGACTGGAAATAAAAAGAGACTACTTGTGCTGGCCTGAACAGGGTAACTAGTCATGTTTATGTAATGCAATTCCTGAGCAGAAAACACTTAATGAAAACTTAAAATCATTAAAGGAATAGATTAACTATGTAACTAGAAAAAATAGTAAACTTAAACACAGTTTCAGAATCAAGTTTGATTTCTTACACATATGGGAATCTATAATGCAAAACTTGTGGCCTGCATAGCAACACCAGTAAAACGTGGTGTAAAATCCTGATCCACGTCAGTGATTTCACTGAGTGTCAGGTGGCTGTGTTTATAACACGTGTAGAAGGCCACCTCGGGGCTGGGTTTCTTGTTTGTGTACTGCAGAAAGCAGAACTGAATGATTAAAAAAATCTCAGTTTACTTAGCACACCTGGCTCCTCAGCTTGCCATGCTGTGGTCTGGCTGCTGCTGGGCTTGCCTGGCTGGGCTTGCTGCCCAGGGAGGTGCAGCACTGGACAAGCTCTGGGCTCCCATCCCATCCAGATGCTCCTGAGTTTACCTCTGTGGCCCAGGGTTTTGCTGACTTCTTAACATCACTTCTTTTAAAAGCCTAATAGCCTTTGTCCTCATTAGTACTGCAGGTTTGAGTAGGAACTAGGCTCCTGCAACACAGCAAAGAAGGTCATCTGTAGAATTTGTGAGAATACTGACCTCCCAAAACACATGACAAAAGCATTTAACATTTTTTTATGTTGCTGCACCAGTTCTTTCTTTCTTTGTTTCCTTCATGAGTTGTCATTGAAATTATAGATCCTTGCCTTTATTTGTCCTGCTGGAAATGGATTGCCATCCTTTTGTTTGCATGCTTCATTGCTAGTGATTTACTTCTGTTCTGTTTTGTTACGTTGTGCTGGTGAATGTGGTGGTGGTGATGTGCTTACTCCAGTCATGTTACAAGCATGACAGGATAAAGAGAAGAGCAAACTGAAGTATAAGTTTGTTTCTTCGTGGCTTGGAATAAACCCCACTAAATGGCAACCTTGGAAATAAAAATTGTGGAGCCCAAATACTGGTTAAAACATTCTTGGGGGAGAGACATAAGGGGAAATAGTCTTCCATTTAAATACCAATGTAGGAATTTTCTGTTCAAATTTTTAGTGGTTGTCTTTGTGCCTCAGGCACATCTCAGAATGTATTTATAGATAGTTAGCTTTTTTCCTATTAAAAGTGATTAATAAGTATCATATAAGAAATGTGAAGTGATATAACTGTTAAAAAGAAGAACAAACAGTTAATGCATACTTGAATTTTTACAGAATTGGTTTGCTATTTTGTCTTTGGGACTCCTTGACTATGACTAGCCCAGGTTATCATTTGAAATAAATATTGACTTTGATTTGATGTGATGGCTTTTTTTTTACCATTTATTTTCTTCTCTGTTCCTTTGTGTGTTGGAATGGAATATGAACTTCATAAATGCCTCCTCTGCCATGCCAATGCCTTCATGCATGCTGTTTGGGTTTGACCATGCTATTCATTATCCATTGCATGTAAGATATGTAAATTTTTATTTATTTTTACATTTTAGCCTTTTGTTATTTATTTTGAGAGTGTGGATTTGTTGGGAGGGAAAAGCAACTGCACAGCAGTAATTGAACAATTTTGAATTCGTAGAGAGCATAAATTAATGCCATAATATTAAAGTTGCTAGTTTTATCTATCAAACATAAATAGAAATGCAAAAATTTTATTGAAGTTTTCAGTAAATATTTTAAAGAAATACCCAGAATCTGTGTCTGCAACCTTTTCAGTACATATTCTCTTCCTGAGAATAAATTTATTGGTTTTTCTCTCGGCAGACAGTAAGTCTTGTTAAGAACAAGAATGATTCTATAGAGCCAGAGACATGTACATTTTGTCCTCAAGAAATGGAAGAAATAATCTTTTGTCATCTGGAACTACTCTATATTACAATCTTGAAAATAGAGGCTACTGTTAACCTCTTAGTACTCCAGACTGTTATATGAAGGCAGCTTTTACCAGTTTTTCAGGATATTTCTTCCAGTGCATACATGAATTGTGATGAAACATTCCTTGACAGAACAGTCACATGTACATGTGTCATGTAACTTTGCCATAGAATGCTAGGATAGGAGGAATATAATTTTGAAGCAAGGGACTTTAGTCTACTCTGTAGTATAGTAGAATTGCTGAAATCCCTTAATTTTTTTTTTCATTTTCTACTCTGAACTGTCAGATTAAAATGATTAAGTAATACATCCCCATACTCCTTTTTCTAAAGAAATGCACTCGCTTTTAGAGGATGCATTAAATAACTACTGGATGATGAGGATGGATGATTTTTACACCACACACAATATAAAGTCAGTGGAGCTTAGGCAAAATTACCAGAAAAAAAGTTGGATTCCCAACAACTCATGTGGAAGATGGCTCTGACCAAGAAAATGCAGACTGCAGCAGAGAAAGGATCAGAGGCTGGCGGGTGGTCTGATCCAGTTCAGCAGAGCTGCAGTGGTCTTCCAGCACTCCTGTGGGGCCAGGGGTACTACAGATGTAGGTCACCAAAGTTCTCTGTGCTCCATAGTCGAGTTTTGACTCATCAATGTTCCTTAGGTTCCTTAGGAAGCTTGGGTTTCAGTATTTCTGTGCTACAGGTTTCCATCTTCTAAAATGAGATAATATTACTGATGTCAAGAGAAAGGCTTTTGAAACTCCAGGGTATCCAGGGAAGTCCTATAATGCTGACAATAAAAGTGAGGTTTATTTTTTATAAACCTCAAATAATTTTCTGTAATTGCTGCCTTTTTGAATTATGAACTGTAGTCTATTCCCACCTCATGTCAGCAAATCTGTTGTTTGCTCTTGGTAAAATTGCAGAGTACAGTTGCCCAGCTTACTGTTTGAGTGGAGAAAACTCTCCCAGATTTCTCTCTCCCTTCTTGGAGACAGGACAGCAAGTGAGAGATTCATTTCCTCTGCCTACTCTGATTCCTCCCAAACCACTGTGACATACCAGGAGAATGGGAGGCAGCACCTCAGCATGAGCCCCATACATGACAGGCTGTGGACAGACACTGGCAATTAGTATTAATTTGATTTTCACTTACTCAATTAACCTCTCTATCCAACAAAAGAAAATAAATGAGAAAGGGCCACTAGTAATGCTACAAGAGATTAAAGTAGATGGGTAAGTAAACCCAGTAAAGTAGGCTAATTTGAAATGAAGGGATTAGAGTGGTTTGTAATATTACAGTACTCTGTCTTTATTATTTGATCACTTAATGTCTTCTGCTTCAGAATCCTAAATCCCAGGAACCTGTTACACTGGATTTTCTAGATGCTGAATTGGAAAATGATATTAAAGTTGAGGTGAGATTACCTAATATAATAGTGCATGTTGCTGCTAGTATTTCTCCATATAATAACTGTAAAGCAATAAATGATCTAGATTTTGAATGAGAATCTCTTTCAATATAAAGCTGAATTTTAATTTTGTAAAGTTGATTACTTTATATTTATTTATTTTTATTTATTTATATTTAGGCACATTAAATCCCAGCATTATTTTTAGGCAAGGGCAATGCATTATATTCTTCTCATTTTGAAAAACACCTAGAATGCTACTTAAATTCTTCTTCATGAAGTAACAATTTCTGAGAAGGAAGCTAGAAAATTTTTTTCAAAACAGAACACTTTTTAATAGAATATTAAAATATTACCTGAAATATTTTAAAAGTATTTCCCTATCTTATTAATGCAAGATTGTTCTTGTGGCAAGAAAGTAAACTGAGAAGCAAAGTGTAATCAACAAATTAATTCCTCTATATATTTCTCATTATATTACTGATTCTGTAATATATTCAGAAATGATAACTTTTTAAAATAATTAGTTAGTTTTCTGAAATCAAAAGAAAGTCTTTTAAACATTTTACATTTTTAACTTTTTTTTTTTCAATGAAATTGTTCTTTTATAATGACAATAATCAGCCTGCCTTGGTATCTGTTTAATTCTGCCTTAAGTTTCTTTGAAATGGCTGCTTAGGAGGGGAGTTACTCTCAAACTGGTACAAAAGTGTTCCTGTGAATCAGTGCTATTACCTGAATCACACCTGAATCTCCCAGATGTGCTGGGAAGCACAGGAAATGCCAGACAAAATTCCTTTTCAGGCACACAGAATTCACTCTCTCTCAGTCAGTGTCCAGAATCAAAGATATTTATGGCATTATTTTGCAGTGCAAAATATATCAGGATTTTTTGCTTCATAACTCTATTGATTCAGTATATATTTGGATAAAACAACTTCTAATTGGAAAAATCTGAAAACTGTAAACAAAACTTTTTTGAAAAGTTCTGACCTCCATTTGCATTAGAATTCTCTGGGTTTTTAATAAATATTTTGATCACTTGAACGATTATTCATGTTACTTGCAGCACCTACATTTTTTCTTTTTATTTTTTTATTTCACTTTTTCCTTTTCTTCCTTGCCAATAGATTCGGAAAAAAATGATAGATGGAGAAAGTGGAGAAAAAACTTTTGAAACACTGGTCAAGTCCCAAGATGAGGTAAGATAGGATCCCAAAGAGTTACATTTACAGGAATAAACCAAACCAGAAAATTAATGTGAATTGTTGAAATGCTGGTATGTTCATTTTGTAATGACAATTTGTACCATTTTTCCCTCTAGATTTGCTAGTTTTACTGGCTTATAGTAAAAAAAAAAAAAATTATGTGCTTAGGAAAAAAAACTCGTTTTGTTTCTTGGTTTCTTTGGTGCATCATTAATCAGGCAGTTGTTGATGAGGTCTTACACTCTTCAACAGGAAATGGACCCAGCCTACTTCTGTGTATGAATTCCAAAACAAAGTGCTTAATTTGTTTGCAGAGATGTATGAGGATGGATTTGGTAGTTTATATTGTGGTTGAATGGGAAGAAAGTTGTGAGAAAAAATAATAAAGTGATATTTTTATGCCATAAATGAAGACTCTTTGGAGTAAGCAAATTCATCTTACAGTTAGATTATGTACTTTCTGAACAGCTTGTTGAGTTCTTTATTTTCTTGTCCAAAATACTTATTCCTCATAAACACTGCTACTGTTTTTTCTAATAAGCAGACATGTTTCCTAGCAATAGGAAACACTCAAATTTGATATGGGTCATTGCATGAGTGCTCTACATCTTGAGGACCTCAGTGAGAAGAAATCATGACTGATGTGCTGAAGGTGCAGTTCTGGCCAGAGCATGCCCCACAGTTACTGTTCTACAACAGCTTTTTGAAACACATTTGCTCTGAACATAAGTCAGTTTGAAGACACCTAATTTGATAATTTAGCAGACACTGCACAACCCAGATAAGCTCACTGTACAGTACTTACAAGAATTGCTTGCAGTTAATTCATACTGGCTTTCCCCTCTTCCCTTTTTTTTCTAGAGACCTGTATCAGCAGTGCCCTTACCTCCTTTACTGTTTTGTGCTTTCTCACAGTAAAATGCTAAAACCAAGCTTCACAATACTGCTTTACAATCTCTGGGGAGATCCTGCTGTGGGAGGGGAAAAAAAAACAACTGGTTTCTCCTGAATGGTTCCACTATTGGAGAATGGTGCACAAATAGGTATTTTCTGGGGCTAAGTCCCAGTGGATGCCAGTTCTGCCCCTCCCCTGTGTTTGGAGGTGATGCTGTTTAGGATGCCACAGTCTGTTCCCTTAAGGAAACTGAGTCATTCCTGACCCACTGTCAGAGAGTCCAAAATCTTGCTGGCATCTGAGTTGAGGATAAACTGCTCCTGAAGGGAGAGACTCCATGCTGGGACATTTTCAGATTTATGTTGTTTTGTTTAAGTGGAGCCTTTCCAGATCTGTGGGTGAAAAAGGCTCTGTGTACGTGGTTAGAAGAGGGAAGGTTAGAAGGTCACAAAAATACAATAACACAATTAGGGTTGTACAAGAAATTGCATTAATGGCAAACATTGAAAAAGTTTCAGGCTGTTTTTACATTTCTCAGGCTCTGTGCTACAAAAGACCTGAAAGAATTAGTCCTGCATTCTTTGCCCAAAGAAAGAGGGAGGGAAGAATTGCGAATGCTGAAGTCAATTACAGTATCTGGGCAGGAGGGAGGATGTAACATCCCTGGGTGCATGAGAATGTGCCAGTAACACACGGCCCAGACCACAATCTGTGTTAGAATAAAATATCCCAAGCCTTTGATCCCTGATGTTTTAATGCCAATGAAATTAATTATCCTCACCTTCCCTTGCACCATGGCCCGAGATTTCTTCTTCTACCCAGATCTCTCTGAGAGAAGAAAGGAGCAGCCAGAGCTGGCTGGCTATGATGACTGCTTCTAGCCATTGCACCCTCCCAGCTCCAGGCTGCTAGAACCAGAATAAAGCTGCTTTAAACCACGGGCCACGCATGAGCCATGCATCACTTAGCACTTGATAGCTTCATATATTTTCTTATAAAAAGGGCTGATGTGGTCGGTTGCTCTGAACTGACAGTTGCAGTCTTTGGGCTTAAAATTTATGTTCTTTTTGTTTTGCTTTTTGGTTTAAGTTTGCATCGCTTTCCTTTTGTGTTGCAGCTGGCCCCAGCAGTGTCTTGGGAGATGACTTCATACTAGAGCATAGAGACTGGACTTGTAGCAAATGTGGGTGGGGTGCTCTGGAGTCTCCCGAGGCCTCAGGGGCTTTCCAAGTAACAGAGAAGATGCCATAGGAACAAAAGCATTGCCACACTGGGCAGCCGGGGTGGGCAGCAGTGAAAACTGAAGGGTCACAAAAGCTGCAGTCACATGTGTGAGTTGTTTGGCAGCGATCAGCTGGGGATGAGATGGGCTCAGCCTGCCCACGGAGGAGCAGGCAGAGGCACAGGGGAGGTGTGAGGATGTGTTACCTGCTGGCTTATCTTTGGAGGCACCTTTCAGCCAGTTCGCTTCCAAGCGCTCTGACAGCGCTGGTGGTAACAGGATTTAATTACAGCCCAGTTCTCTTCCCTCCCCTCCCACCTTGGGCACTGTTTTTCCCTTGTGGAAGTGCATGTGTGACCCGTGACACTGTGCCTGGCTTGGAGGGACTGCCAGCACTAGGTTCAAGTGGCTAATTTTAACCTGAAGTACACATTAGGTATAAATAGGCTTCAATAGGAATCCCTTCAACCATCTTTTTACCTTAAATATAAAATATATCAAGGTACTAGACACTGTTATATGCGTCTTTTTTCTATTTTTATCTTTTTTTATTTTCTTTCAAAAATTACTATTAAATTATTTATGGTGTCATGCTGGACTGAGAAACAGCAGCCAGGTAATGAGAAGGTTTCAATTTATTAATGTCATATAAGTCATCTCTTTTCCACAGCCATGGTCATTTTCCCACTATCCTTCTACCATAGGGAAAGACAGAACCTAGAGATGTACCTGTGGTACCTTTCACCAATGTTTGTGGTGTTGCAGTGCAACAGATCTACAGTCTTCATTGCTGGCATACTTACAAAAATTTGATTGTAAAGTAATAATATGTTGCAGCTGGCATAATCCTATCATTTCCAAAGTGGAAAACTGAGTAAAACTATGTCAGCCAGGTATATTCATGATTAAATCTATGGGGAACTATGGGACTATGCCTATCACACTATTTTTCATACCACAAGAAAACAAATGGTAAAGATTATCCTAATGTATGAAGTTATTTAAAAAGAAACATTTATTTCACTATTAATTTTTTCCCAAAATTCAAAATCTTCTTAATGAGATTAAAAAAAAATAAGTTTAGCAAGGGGTGTCTATATATAATCAGAATTACCAGACTGTGCCTGTAGTTACGATTCAAATTTAAATGCATTAAGCCAGTGGTGCTGTGACCTGACAGGACAGGTTCTGGGTATTTTTGTTTTTAAAGACTTACCTACAAAGCCTTTTTGTAACTGAAGGGTTTTTTTCATCTTTTTGTAGTTTAACTGCAAAATGATCCATAAAAGAGAAAGAATTTTTTATCAAATTTAAATCACATAAATTAAGGTTTGCATAGGTCTGGCTAATGTGAAAATTACAGGTCAGGTTTGCCTGATTTTATTTAAATTTAAATTTTGCTAATGTTCAATAAAAATTATATAGTTGATTCTTTTGCAAAATGTAAGTTTGTAAAATATTTCAGGAAAGGAGTGGCAGCTCAACCCATTATTTTAGCAAAATAAGAAATAGAAATCTGACAGATTTGTTCTCGATTTTACACAGTATTTCTCAAAGAAAGGTCACAATTGTTGAAACTCCTTGGCTTAATAATTTAATTTTTCACCAATATCTCTTTGTAGAGGTATATTGATAAAGGAAACAGAACATATACATGGACTGCTGTGAATGGCACAGACTACAGGTAAATCATTTCTATTCACTGGCTTCCTTTGTTTATTTAAGTATTCTTTTGGTTAACTTTGGTTAATATTTTTAGCATTACATTTTCTGCACTAGCTACGGCGACACTGGTGTGTGTATTATTTCAAATTCATTTAAGCATACAGCATTGTAATATTCCTTAACGTTATCCAAAACAAGTAAAGGTTTTCCAAGTCTCAGGAAAGTTAAACTACTCTAGCTCAAAACTATATGGTATAAATATTGAGTCAAATTTTGACCAAAATGTTATTTCTGTTATGGTGAATTACAGTAGTCCTCAGCCAAGTTGGATCCCAGTTTCTGTTGTCTTCTGCACAGGTGTACAGTCACTGAGAATGCAAATATTAATTTGAGTGTAAAACCAAACAAACCGGTTTTAACAATGGAACATAAGCCTAAGATCTTCTATTCACTATCCCATTTTTCTCTTGAACTGCCTCTATCTTCATATTCAGTAAGAAAAGGAAGTTTTTATCAGACTGCCATCTAGCAATCACTAGAGAAATACATTTGATTTACATGACTTCTTAATTCTACCTGAGCTTCCTGGCATGATATATAGCAATAAATCCTCAGAGTACCCTTGCAGAAAACCTATTAAACATAAAATTATAGATTTTAATTAGCAATTTCTGCTAGCAGTAACTGTTAATGACAGGTAAACTGCCACTGATTTCCCTAGAGGAGAATTGGTAGAAGGCTATCACTAAATATTCAGAAATCTCACTTATATTCTGTGTAAATTGCAAATGTGTCATTAAAGGTCAGCTCATTTATAGTTCAACTGTGCAACATTTTTAATGTTAATTTCTGCAGCTCTTCATTAGGAACTGTTGCAGTTCTGCATGGATGAAATCCAAGTGTAAAAATTAAGGATGCTACTTGGGAGTTGATGATACCTATTTAATGATTACTCACACCTCCTGTCCTTTACATACATTTTTAAAACTAAACCCTTCTACGTATGTGTAGAATTTAGCTGCAAAAAGAATTCCTACATGTATTGAACAGAAATAAGTATAATATAAAAGAAAAAATTGCAAATACTCTGCAAATCTTAAAATATTATTGCACAATTATGTTCAGTAGTTGTTAGTCGTGACTGCATGATTAAATAAAATATTTTTTGGATCCCGAAGGTAATGTGAATGCAAGTATTGCCAGATGCATTTCCTGGAGAATATTGATCATTGTTTTATTAGCGAGAGTCTCTTGTTACATGATGTGTGCAAATCAGCACAGTACTAAGTGATATTTCTGCAGTCAGTGATCACCATGACATGTTATATTGGGATGTTAAATGCGTCAGAGGAAGATACAAAAATCATGTATTTTTTTAATTTGCAATTATTTGGAAATTCCTTGCTCATCTGCTAAAAAGTACATTTGTGTTTAAAAGTGTAAATAAGAATTGAAATAAAAACGGGGACCCTCAGGATTGGCATAAAAGTACTTTTGTCTATTACCATGTGTGAGGCTGGTATATCACTGTGTGCCTGCCTCATCTTGTGACAGTCCAAATGCCAAAATTGTTAATTACTTTCAAAACACAGAGAAGCTGAAACTAGAAAACCACTGCAAATAACATAATTGCTTTACTCGTCTCATTTCTGTTGCAGTTTGGCACTGGTGTTACCATCATACAGCTTTTATTATATTAAAGCCAAAATAGATGAACCAATAATTCAAGCCAGATGTAAGTACTGTAAAGATTCCCTGGTTTTGTCTGGTATTGCCAAGACTCAGATTCACTTAAAAAGCAATGTTTGAAATTCATAAATTTTGTGGAATTCACTGATGTTATCATGATGTACCCGAAATCTTCAGCAATGATTCTAACCCGTTGTAATACCTGAGGTGCAAAAAATATTCTATAGAAATAGAATATGTGCAGAACCTGTCAGTTCCACTGACAATCCCTACCCCTTGCTCTGTGCCTATAGAATCATTGCTTTGTGTATCCTCTATTGCTGTCATTTTAAGGGTCTGGATAGCATTTTTTTCATTCTATTAGAAAAAAAATTATATAGACAATAACAGTAAACCTTGCTTTATTTAGAGCAATGTGAAAGCCCTGTTTGTTTTGGGTTGCAGTTAGGCTTTTATTTTGCATTTTACAAATAGTTTTAGTGGATGTTTGCATCGTATTTTTAGATTAGACTGATTTCAAACCATTTATAGATTCTGAAGTGATAGTTGGAAATTACACTTGTCAGTATTCAAAGGTTTTTTGTTTATTAGGTGTAGCTTAACTGTAGTCTAGGTAGTACACAAAATAAAACCAATCACAGCTTTTTAATTTTAATCAGTTATGATAAATTTAGAACACGTCTGCAGTTAAATAGAAAGTTCAAAATACACAAAAAAACCTCAGAGAGGCATGGATACTGTAAGTTTAGAGACAACTTGGTTAGCACTACATCACTGTCCTCTACCATTGCTCCTGCTTACAAAGAAGAATATACCAACTTTTAATAATCAGTGATTTGTTTTGTTTTTCCAAAACTGAGTACATTAAAATTAAATTTTTAAGCAGACTGTGATTCTCTTATATGCATTTATATCAATTAAACCTGCAAAACAGACCCTTGAAATATCCAGTGTATAGAAGGTACTGAGAAATAACTGACAAGAACCTATTCTTCAGTCTTCAGAGATGTTTGTCTTTTTTTTTTCCAAACTAAAGCTCTATGTAAATTGAACCTTTGAATCTATGTACAATATTTTTATTCAAGGGGCTGTTTGAATAAAATATTGGTTTGTGACCCCTTGTGCTTTACCCTGTTTTTTTCTGTTTCCCTGCTTTCTCTTTCTGATGGATAGCGAAACACAAAAAGGGCAAGTATATTCTTGTTGCTCGATTTCCTTCTGTTTACTGCAGTTGATATTTTTCACTTATATTTCTATTCCTACTGGATATTCTCCTCTGTATTCCTCATCTCAGGATTTTCTTCATTGTCATTGGGTACCATAGCAATAGAAAGGGAAAAAACAAAAGTGAAGTATTTTACTTTTTTCATGTACATTTCAATATGTTGTTAATCTCTAATCCTTCTTTGTTTGGTCCTATCAGTGTTCAGTGATACCAGCTATTAAAGCAATTTTTTTTTTCAGTAGGATTTACAATGATGCTACCACGACTGAGTTTTTTAAACTTTATTGCAGAAAGTATTAGGAATATTTTTCTTAATGTTATAACAACTCAGCATCACAAACACTTATTTGTATCACAGTTTACTTCTAGTGAAAATCTAATTTGATTTCGTGTTGCTATGCTAATTAAATGTCTTCCTTAAATAAAGTGTTAGATATTATCTTACTGTTAATAAACAAGTAATTTCTTCCTATGTTGCAAAATATTGAGAAGCATAGAATTCCTTAGGGGGAAAGTGTCTCAAACATTTCTTTCTAAATTCATGGATGCATGCAAAAGTTAGCCAAATATTTGAGAAGGGGAATGATGGTAAAAATTCCAATTTACTTATTTGGTGTTTACTCTCCATTTTTTTAGTTTCAGAGTCACTGAAGCTTGATGATTTTGATGAAGCTGGCTACACATTTTTAGCACCAAGGTTGGTTGATTTCCCAGTAATGTGTTATTTCAGCATCTGATCTGATTATTGGCACATGAAAAATACAGATTTCACTAATAAAGCTTCATTTGGTAAAAAATTATCAGTCCTTTTTCGTGCTAGAATGTGAATAGCATCTTCAGGCTCTGATTTCTGCTCGTATTAGTCAGAGAGCTGTAAAAACTGATATTGATATTTTAATGGAAAACTTAGATCTGGGCATTTCTTGTGGTTCTGACTTCTAAGATTTTACAACTATTTTTAAAAAAAGTTTCATAATACTTACCACAACATGTTTCCCAACTTCAAGACAAAGGGTTTCAAAGCTCTCTATTACTTAATTATTAGTTAATTTTCAATTAATTGAACCTAAAAATTATTGAAAATTTATTAATTTAATCAGTTCCTAAGATTTTTTTAATGAGAAATTCTGCAGTTCTTCTTTCCCTTTTAAAATTATGCTCACAAGGGAAACCTAGTATGATAAAAACTTCCTAAAATTTAAGTTCCTCTAAAAGATAGTTGTGGTGAATAAAGGAAATGCTGTACAGTTAAGGTCAATTGAGAATTGTTACATTCTTTTTTTAGATAAATTTCTCTAGACTTTTAAATTCCAATTAATAGATCAGTTTCAATTAATAGATTGATTTATGTGAAGTCTTCTATCTTAAAATGTATCCTAGCTTAACTGTTTGATGTAATTTTTCTGAGACTAAAGCTTTCAAGAATTAATTGTACCAATTAGCAGCTTCCAGCAAGTCCCTGCTGTCCTACATGAACAAAGTCTGTTTGATATGTAGTTCTGCTTAAATAAGTAAGGTAAAATCTGCCTATGGTATTTCTGGATTATGGTAAGGTAAATAAAGGGTAATAAGATCATATGAAATACTTGAACAGAATTGTGTGTAAAACTAAATTAATATTAAAGCTCGTTTTAAAAAGAGAGCCCTCTGCTTCACTGCTATATTCTCTTTATATTTTAATTAAAGTTATTTAATGCCACTCATCATATAATATTTGCCTCCAAAAATGCCCAGTGGCTTTTATTTTGCTTGTTTGCATTCAGTGAATTGCCCAATGATATATTGCTTCATTACATTATATAAGGGACAGGAGTTTACGGTTTATGTGTTTTGCATCTGTCAAAACAAAGAGTGTTTATACGTTTATGTCATTTGTACCCTAATAAAATTGCATTTAAAACTTCTCAGAGGATAGGACCTTAACCTACAAATCTGGCCTTAGCTGAGCATGTGGTGGCTATGTTTCACAGCAGTCCAGGTACTTTAACACTTTAACCCAGGAGAAATTTAAATTCACTGGGCATATTTTTAGTGTACAAACTATGATCTCCTAATATGTCCTGCACTACTCCTCTTTTTTTTTTTTTTTCTGAGAATCTATGCCCTATTTCATGCATGCAGTTTTCTTACAATCCAGTTCTTAACAAATACTTAGGCAGGTGTTTGAACACCTTATTTCCTGTAGATGTCTGAAATAATTGATATAGTAATCATTAAGTACTGATGATGGCAGCCAATTGACACAGTAGTACCAGCTACTTCATAGTAGTCGCACAATCCTTCTTGGAATTCTAAATTGTCTGCTTTAGTATCACAAGAAAAAAAATGTTAGAAGACTGATGTTTTGTTGTTTTCCAGAGAATACTGCAGCGATGTAAAAAAATCAGAAAACAACACTGAGTTTCTATTAAATTTCAATGAATTTATTGACAGAAATACTCCAAGCAGTTCGTCATGTAAGTACTCTTCTACCTCACTGAATTTTTTCAAGAGGAGAACACCTTCTCATGGATGAGAGTTCATGCTCAAATTTTTAGGTTTTGTTTTGTCTGTAGAAATGTATCTATGTTGGGATTTTCTATACAAAGTCGAGAGTGTAAAATTAGTTTTCAAGTTTCTGGCTTTATTTAAAATAGTTTGTAAGGCATTATGCATCCTGTGTTTTCCATTATTCCTCCCAGCATTTTGCTCAAGCATCAAATAACTACTGGTTCATTTTAATACACTCCAAATATCTTTGAGCTTATATTTTCTCACTTAAGCATGGCAGCCAAACTAAGTCTGAAACAGACTCAAAATCTTGTAATAAAATCTACGACTTGCTTTCTTGTCATTTTATTCCAAAATAAGTAAAGAAAAGAAGTTCAAGACCAAAATAACCAATAATCAGCATAAAAGTTAAGGAAATTATTTTTCTGGTTCACAAATTGTTTAAAGAGATCTCACTTGTTCTTGAATAGCTAAAGACCACACAGATCCATGTAACTGCTGCAGTGGTGAGCACAGGGCTTTGGGAAGGGATTAATTCATATTTTGAGATTGGGCCTTAACCTCTATTTAGAATAAATGAAGACTTATTACCATCAGTAAGGTGTTAAAACCTTGTTCTGAAGAAAAAAATCAGTGTTTGGATTTGGTTTGGTACATACACATCTGTTTATCATTACTAATAATTTATAGATACTTGGAATAACCTCTTTTTTGTCTTGCTTTCCTCAAGTCTTTCTGACGTGTTGTTGTCAAGGATAACTGATCAATTCAGAAAGAATCTCTCTGCTAGGATGTAACTGAAGGAATGTCCACTTAGATACAATATCTTTTCACAAAAGGATATGTTTGTGTGTCTTTATGGGTGTTTGGTGTTTTCTTAATGGAGTGATCTTTTTCATTTACACATTGCTGACTAACTGAAATTTTCCTTGAATGCCTTGACTCTATGTTGGAAATGAAAACATTTACCTCCAGTGATTAAAGCAATTAATAATAATTTAATAAAATTTATTAAAAAATGAAAATTGTCATGTAATATTCTCTATAAGCAAATATTGATGACACATTTAGTAATGTTGTAGTATACAGTAGAGCTTAGTAAGTAAGTATTCCAAAATGTTATCTACTTATTTCTGTATTTCAGTTTGGAATATGCAGCAATTTTCTTTTTCCTTTATTTGTTAATAATTAAGTTACTTTAAGAATAGTCTCCTTAATAAGTAAACAGTGTTAACAAAAGGACTGAGTGGCTTAGAAGTTATGTCAGAAAAAAAATGCTTTTCAAAAGGAATAACATAAAATCGCCACCCTGAAGTAATCTTCAGTAACTCTGCTAAAGTGCTACTGAAAAAGATGGTTGGGAAGCACTGACTTCAAACCATCTTTTCAAAAAAATTTAAGCATGACATTCTGTATAAGGTACTGATTTAAAATAAGTTTATTTCCCTGTATCCATTTTCAGATGACAAATGTGTTTTATTTAGAGCCTGGGACTTAGTAAATTTAAATATATTTATAATGTAGTTGAATTTCATTAGGATTTTTAGTTTCCTTTCATCAACTGAGATAAAAAGTGTTTTAATGAACACATGCTTTCAAAATAGGTTAAAATGCAGATTTAGGGGTTTGCAAAGCTGGGGCCTATATCCTTATCACATTCCTTTTTCCTGTGACACAAAGATAGGGTTTTATGATACAACGAAAATGTTTAAGTGTACTCAACAAGTGCAGAAGCATCTCTTAATTGCTCAATTAATCAATTAATTGCTGACATAATTTGAAGTTAGGCAGAATGTCTAACGTTAACAGCCACAGTCTTTGTGGCTGGAGCATCTTGACAACTCAGAATTTCATTTTAGGCTTTTATTGAAACTCCATCTCATACTGTTTCAGATGACTTACATTTTGACTGTTTTGATAGGTAATACTGATATGGTCATTAGAGTTTTGCTGGATGCAGGATTTACAAGTGAACTTGCCCAAAATTATTGGAGTAAACTGTCTCTGTAAGTATTCTTTTCATTGACTATTATTTTTCTATGCATTTCAGAGTTTGAAAACAAAATCATACTTTTGTGTGTGTGTACAGATATGCAGTTAATGTTACAGACACTAGGTATTTATTCACAGTTATGCACTTCAATGGAAACCCGTGACATGGGAATTTGTGAGAATTGCAGTTTTCATTTTAAATCTTATTTTTATTTACAGTGATGGAGTTGTTGCACAATTTGTTGTTACAGATGGTGGAATTACTAGAGTTTTCCCCAAAAGGTAAGAATTATTACAAAATAGTATAATATGATCATTTTGAAACCTGAAAGGGTAGACTGTTAAAGAGTGGCTTTATTGAATTTTATTGAAAAACTAGTCTATTAGGGTCTAATCTGCACTGATAGCTATGAAATTAATGGAATATCTTGTTTTTCTTCAATTTTACCTGTGCCTATGCTTGAAACTAATCTGTGCAATTATGTGCATGACAGACCCTTGTAATCCAAGTTTCTAATCAGTGCAGAGTAGCAGTAAAAGCAGTGCCTTTGTAGTAGCAGTGGGGCCATGCTAATTGCTAATTATTCCGAAGCACTCAGTTTGGCAGGCTGCAAATAGTGGAATGTAGTGGGTGATTTTTTTTTATTTTTTTTTTTTTAAACTAAGATCAGACCTAAAGGTCCAGGGTCTTCAAGAGAGAAAAATGTATCATTATCAGAGGACAAAAAGGGAATGTGAAATTGGACATACCATAAACTAGACACACCCCCACAAGTGACTGGGAATAGTGAGGGCACCAGTACAGATCTACTGGTAAATGGCAAATCTATCTATTTTCTTAGGTTATTCTGTGTTTCCCCAAAATGTGAAAATGGCAATGAATTTTACTCCCCAAGTGAGTTTCTTTCCTATTTTGGGATTATCAATGCTATTAAATCTTTTAGGATTAAGATCAAAGCATAGCATGTGCTGTAAAGGTTCATTGAGATTTTGTTGTAAGTAGTGCTGCAGTTGTATGTGTCACAACAAATCTAAAAATGATGAGACTAAATTAGAGGTTTTCCAAGAATACTAATTCTTTTTTCCCCTAAGTTTGTTTTTTAGGGTTTTTTCTAATGATTACACCTGTCTTTTAACCAGTGAAAACTGACAGAGCCTAAGGGCTATAAGAATGAATCTCAATTTTTTCCAACTGTGAAACATTGAAAGAAAACAACCTGCAGTACAGTTTTAATGAGACTAAACTGTCTTTTTTTTTTGGATCCTTTTTTTTTTTTTTTTTTTTTTTTTTTTAACAATATGTTGCTAAATGTCAGGAAAATTAATCCACTTATGAAATCAGTTTCTATAAAAGGAGTTTAGATAATGACAACTATATTTTCACAGCTCCATACTACAACAGTAAGTCATCACAGCTAGTCCAATACAAGTGGAAGATGAGGTCACTGACAAAAGATGCAAGCATGACACTTCATAAGCAAAGAAATCTTGTGATAATACCATTAAGGAAAAGCTAGGAGGCACTAAACGAGGTCATCATAATTTGTCAACTCCTCTGGTGGCCCTGTGTGCTCAGAATTAAGTGAAAACATACAGAGTGCTGGTGTTCATTCAGTGTATTGAAACTGTTTTATAGAGGTACTTTGGCAGAATTATTTTAACAGAAAGTGAAATAAAATTGCACTCATAGACAATAACTCTACCTGAAGTCTTAATAGAGCTCAGTTCTGTATACTGTCTCAGCACCCCCAGCACTGATTTGGGGGACCATGCATAGGGGTCCAGAGACCATAACTCTATCCACTGCACCACTACTTAGTTTAAAGTTCACTTTTGAATTCTATTTACAATTGTACTTATTCACCAAAACCAGTTGGTCTGAGATGTTGTGACATTTCAAACCTATATGAGCACAATAGTGAGTGCCTGTTACTGATGTGAGCAACATTAACCTTCCCAAGTATGACAAAAAGAAGATGCTACCACAAATGACATACTGCTCTCTTAAACATATGGAATCCTTCATTACTGTTATTTCACAATTATTTATTGCATTTTTTTCTTAGTAAAATATAAAGATGGTAATTAACAAAATTCCCTGAAGCCTTTGTTGCTCCTCAAAGAGCTCCAGGGACTTTTAACTTGCCTTTTCATACTAAGCAGTGTTGAAAACAGTTTGAAGTCTGTCAGAGCAGAAATTGTGCATTAGTGAGTGGTGTCAATATAACCTGCATTAGAAAATACACAGACAACATCAGGATAAAATCTTTGGCTCTAATCCTGGTTTTTGCAGAGCTCTCACGTGTGTACAGATATTCATGGCTCAGTTTGCAGAAGAGGCTACAGTAACTTTATGAAGCAGTCAAACAGGGAATAAAAAGAATATAAACAAATATTTCTTAGTCATGCCAGTGTTAGTGATCTATGCTATCACAGGTGATAAATGTGTACTACAGCTGGGTCAGTGCTTTTGGACAAGGTTTTTTAAAAATCATTCTGTTGTTTGAATAACAATAGATTTAAGTTTCAGAGGAAGAGGCTTTCATGTCATCCTAACTTTTTTTTTGTTTGCTTTTTTTTGTCTTCTATACTGTCAGAAAGTGGTGCCAATAGCTATGAATCAGGTATTATGGTAAGCAAGGCTGTGGAAATAGAAGTCGATGGGAAGCTTCTGAAGCCAGCAGGTAAGATAGAGTGGTGCTGAAACTTGAAATACTTTTGTTATTTAGTTGTTGCTCAACAGTGAGTTGGAAATTTAATTGAGATTTCAAAGGAACTTCACTTTATAATAACATTATTTTGTCTGGGACAGTTTTAATCTTTCTAGTGTAAATCGTTTGCATTTGAGTAAGAGTGTTTAATTTTATTGGTTTTACTGGTTTCATGAATGGCATTGGTGATCAGAGAGTTGAACAAAAATCATATTTTATCCTGCTCCAGTTCAATGATTTAGATGTCATTATAATTCCCCCCCTCCCCCATTTTTTAGGATGATACAGTTACCTTTTTTTTTTGCCTTCATTTTACTAAGAAAGGCTTTCATGTATTTCTTGTTAGTTGTTGGAATAAAAATTGACGCAACCAGCTGGATGGAAAATTTCACAAAAACCACAATCAAGAGCCTGGTAAGCAATTGACCAAGTCTTTTTTGAACTTTATTTGCATTTCTCAAAGCTTCAGATGCAAATAGGTTTACTGTCTCTTTGTGCCAGTGTCACACTGATGCACAGTTGCCAAGTAGTTGTGGTATTTAAATCATCCAAATGCACAAAATAAATCTATGTTGAAATAGGCTGTATTTTGTACATGTCTTGCTTTCATAATTATAAAACATGGATAGAGACAAAGAAAAATGACATATTGTCGATAGTAGTAAGATTATGCTGTAACAGTGAATAAAATCTGCAAAATAATTGGTTAACTGCTTTTATTTAATATCCAGGATGGGTAAGCAGTGAACAGTAAGGATTTATATTACAACCAATATCACAGTGTTTTAGGAGAACTTAATGAAATAGATGCTTAACCGTTTCATTCCATACATCTAATATGTAATGCATCTGAGGTGTAAATAGGAAGGAGGAAAGGTTAAATGGAAGGGAAAATATGGTATTGATAGTGAACTGTGTAAGAAAAGGCACAAAATTAAGAAACTTACAGAACATAAGCTTTTTGCTGGGTGAGGTAATGTTGGTTGGTTGTATGTTTAGGGAATCAATCAGAGAGTCTGGCTGGTTCAGGTATTGGAGCTGTAGTTCAGTGGGGAGCCTAAGTGTCAGACCCGTTAAGGACAAAAATACAGAAGTGAAAAATGGAAAGTAAGATTAATATTTCAGAAAGAATGCTGGTGACTCCAGCATCACCTGGTAGTTGTTTTGCTGAGGACATAATGCAAGGACACAGCTGTGTGTGTGTGTATGTGTACACATACTGCAAGAACATGAGAAATGTGTTGGGAATCAAAGCCATAAAAGCCAGCTGGGTTGATGGGCTTCCTTTATCCCATAGGATTCCCATGCCTTGAAGCTTTTCATGGTCAAGAAAGATACTTTCGAAGGTTTTCTTTCCAAACTTCAAACACATGGAAACACTCCTATTCTTTCTGTTTTACTTTATGCTCACAACACTGACACCCTGACAAGTCCTCCAAACTATTTAACTATATTGACCATACTTGCAAAGGGAGTTGTATCAGAGTCTTTGGGAAAGGCAGTCAAGATTGTGCTGTTGATAATTACTGAATACAGGTGGTTCAGAGAGATATTTCTGATAAATATACACACTCAAAATTAATTTAAATTTATATACAGATACTGAAAACAGAATCTTTTGGTCTTGTCTTAATAATAAATAATAAAACTGCAAAATACAGCTTATTTTGTAACATTTTTCTGAAGATTACCATACTTTTGTTTTTTAGTGCAACAGTGAAATCTGTGGCTGTGAAAGAAATAGCATGGTAAGAAAATGTTCAGTTTATTAATATCTGGCAGAATATTGAAATGCACTCATTCTGTCTAGATCTACCTAAGACAGATTCTGTCTCTATTATTTGAGTGTTAATTTTGCAGAAAACAGAGCTTAGTTGTATGTGTCTTGAAAAAGATGCAGGTTAGGAGGGAAGAGGGGAAGAAGGCATGAAATCAGGAGGAGTGGTTATGGTGATGAAGTTGTGAGAACAAGTGTAAAGAAAGATACACAGGAAAAGAAATAGAGAATGATGTGAAGAAAAATGCGATTAAAATATAACAGTAATTTGCAAAACAAGTGACAAATCCTGAGGGGAAAAAAAGAATCATTTTTAAAATTCTGAAACAAAAAGTACCTCAGAAAAGGGTACGTGCAAATTTAAAAGTACCAGAGTCCATAATGTGCCTTTCCATAGTCGTTGGTTCCCAGCACATCCAGGATTAGGGGACCCCATAATTCTGCAGGCACTCAGGAGACCACAGATCCAGGGACTGTCACCATATCAGGTTCTGCCATGTGCTTAAAAGCTTTCCTGTGCTCAGGTCTTCTGAGTTCTTTTGAGGAATGTGAAGATCATTAAACGCAGGAATTACAGCAGAAAGGGTACTGTGGGGAGTTGTCTATTTGACCTCACTGCTATCTCTCCAGTCTCACTGCAAGGATCTTTTACAAAGTGCAAAGCATATGGAATCAGTGAGTTTCCCATTCCTGCACCTGACACCTGGAATAATCCCACTACAGTCCTTGGCGAGTGAAAATAATCATCCCTAGCAAGCTGGGAGCCTGCCCTTAAGATTTTCACCATTGAAAGCTGCAAATGGAAAAGTACTTTAAACATGGCTGAAGCACATGAGAAGTTGTAGGCCCTTATTATGAACTGAGTTCCAATTATAATCAGATTTAATAAGGATATAGCACTCTTGGAACTAACAAAGTATTGAGCAAATAAGAATTTGCAAAACAGCTTTTATGAAATTAAGCCACAAATAAGCCTTTGATCTGTTCAAACTTTTATTATACTGATAATGCTAATTATTATAACTTAAAATTGGCCCTTGGCTATGGGTTTGTGATTTGAAGATACTTCTGATGTCTTGAAAAAAAATAGTTTCTTACAGAATGTTCTATTGACAAATCTTTCCTGTAAAACATATTTCACTTTCTTACAATAGCATGTGGACTGTGTTATCCTTGATGATGGTGGATTTCTTTTGATGTCCAATCGAGATGAATATACACAACAGGTATGTATGTTCTTTAAGAACAGGACATGAAAACCAATAAGAAGAAGTTTAAAGAGAGGAAAAAATGCATTTAACTCTCAACCTACTCTAAGGATAACGTTTCTGAATCACAAAAATATTGCTGGATCAGAAATTAAGTGTGTTTGCTAGTCTTTATTACAGTTTTCTTTATAGATGAAGACTTGGTAGCTACCAAGTAGCAATCTTTGTGCTTTGCCATTAGGCTGGTAGGCTGCCAGTGGACTTAAGATGGTGAGGAAAGTGTATGGTATCTACACACTTTCTTTCTCATACTGTTCTTGCTCTTCACCAGGCAGGGTCTCACTGATACTGCATTTAACAGTTACTGTCTAACTGGGGAACTTAGAACTGCCACCTTGTTATGAGAAAAACACTTGGAAATGTATTACCTTACTCTCTGTATTGCCCCCCATCAGATTGGAAGATTTTTTGGTGAGATTGATCCTGGCCTGATGCGAAACCTGATTAACATGTCCCTGTATGCCTTTAACAAGTCTTATGACTATCAGTCAGTCTGTGATCCCGAAGAAGAGCCAAAGCAAGGAGCTGGACTTCGTTCTGCTTATGTGGTCAGTAGTCCCATGTGCAGTGGCTGACAATCCATTGAAAGTCTGCATGTGTTTATGCAAATAAAATAACCTCTTTTGTCGTTTTGTTTTGTTTTGTTTTCCCAGCCTACAATAACAGATATTTTGCAACTTGGATGGTGGGCTTCAGCAGCAGCCTGGTGAGTATGAGTGTGCAGGAAATACCTATATCCAAACTATAACTATTCCGTGGGTTGAAACTATTTATTTTGATTTTTTTCCTCCATAAAAGTTCTCTGGACCCTTTGTTTTTGCAGTTTCTCATCATGAAAATTCTTAGCTAAGTCTCCAAACATGACTATTTTATCAACAGTTCAATTCAAAACTGCTCTTGCCTGGTTTTGTGATTGTGTGTTCTGACTACAAAGTCAGCTTCAGGATGAAGAGTTTGGATTAATGGTCTAAATATGATGGGCAGTTGTGAAGCCTATATTAACACATTTTGAATTATTGATCACTTGGTTCCCTATTTCAGAATATCATCTTTGCCTTCTTCTAGCAAGAAGTCTTAAGAAAATCAATGTTTGCTTTTCAGTGAATCATTTTACAAAACATATTAATCGAACTAATCAGTTTGGATTGGAAGGAATCTTTAAAGGTCATCCAGTCCAATTTCTCCTACAATGAGCAGGCACATCTTCAACTAGATCAGATTGCTCAGAGCCCCATCCTCCTGACCTTGAATGTCAGTTCCCAAGGATGAGACATCTCCACCTCTCGGGGCAACCTGTTCCAGTGGTTCACCATCCTCATTGTAAAAAAATATCTTCCTTGTATCCAGTCTGCATCTTCCCTCTTTTATTTTAAAACTATCACCCCTTGTCCTATTGGAGCAGGCCCTACTATAAAGTTTATCCTCATCTTCCTTAAAAGCCCTCTTTAATTATTGAAAGGCCACAATAAAGTCTCCTGGGAGCCTCCTTCTGTTCAGACTAAGCCCCAACTCTCTCAGCCTTTCCTTATGGCAAAAGTATTCCATTCCTCTGATCAATTTTGTGGCCTTTGTCTGTACCTACTTACAGGCCCATATTTTTCTTGCTGAGGACTCCAGAGCTGACACAGTACTCAGGTGGGGTATTTACCCATTTCAGAGCCATGCTGATTGACACTCCTATCAGCTACTTCCCTCAGCACCACATTGGGATAAGTAATTGGCATTGCTGTGGTGTGAATTGCAGCCCTGGAGACCGGTCCTTTCTAAAGCTTCATGATGCTTATATTTTTTTCTAATAGTAATTACCAAACTGGAATAAATTACCTCCTTTACGAAGCTGAGAGTTAAAATATGTAGCAGCTGAAAAACTGTTTAGTAATTTTCTCACAGAAGCACTATGAAGACTGTGTGTTGTTTTTTACTGTTGGTTACATTTAGTTAACAGGAAGAGAAATAATCTTGGGTGTTTTGGACAACAGCAAAGCAAGCCTCAAAAATTGAAGATGGGCAATAATCCAGAAGAGAAACTTGAGTTCTTTTCAAACAGAGAAACTTCCGTTTATCAGTGTTCAAATCAGACTCAGCGGTCTGGTCTCAATTTAGACCTGAGGGTTATTTTGTGTGATGTTTAACTTGAAAGCACAACATTAAAGTACTTTACTATGGCCATGTTTTTAATGGAATCTAGGTCAGAAGCAGGCAGAGAAGGCCATTAAGCAAGCAAAGTGAAAAGAGATGACCAAAAAATGGATTCAGTGGAGCCACCTGGCAAAAGCAAGTAAAGGGAAATAAGAGAAACCAGGTTATTAAAGAAAGCTATAATGTTTCAGGAAAAAAATGTGAAATGAAGGTGTGAGTGATCATTTTCAAAATTTATATGGGATACATCAGCATATGGTTAAGAGAGTACGTATCATTTCTCCTTCATGCTCCTTTAAGTCAGGAGATTTAGTTTTCCCAGGCTGCCTTTTTTGTTCAGTTCCCTGTAAATTCTGAGGTAAGCCATTAAAAAGGATTACTATTTTCTGTCAGCAAATTGCATCACTATTGAATAGAATCAGGTCTCTTCTGATCCATAACTGCTCTGTGCTGTCCCTCTAATGATTGAATGCACAGAGTTGTGGATGTGAATGCAGAACTCCTTCAGGGAATGCCTCCATGGGGAAGGTGTACTCACTTTATTTACACAGGAATCACTCTAGGAAAAAAACTTTCAGGTTGAATGAAGTTGTACAGTCCCTTCTTTCTGCAGAAGAAGTGTTAGAACAGAATGAGATGAGATTTCCTCAAATTTGTGCGTAGAAGCAAGACTAAAACTTGCTAACTGGAAAATACAACTTAGGAAGTTTAAGGTGAAGCAGGGTGTCAGAGAATAATACCTGTTGCAGTTCCTGTTTTGACAGGCTGGTAGAGGAGAAAGGATCGCACGTGTGTCAAGCTGGTACCTACTTTAAGTAAATAAAATTGGAAAAAAATCCATCATCAGTGGAGAAAAAAATTAATAGAGCTCTTTAAGCTTAAGTATTTTGGTAGCATATAGGAAGAAAATGTAGTCCACACCTCAAGAGCAAGAATAGAGATGATTTTAAAAGTCAACTGTTACAGTAGTGGTTTTTATAATATAATATTCCAGTGTTGATCTCCTTCTCAGAAATTTAACGAACCTTAATCAGTGTAAAGTATCTAAATCAGGAACATTTTCACTGAGCATGTTAAAAAGGAGTTCCAGTTGGTTTAAGTTGTGGAGAAACAGCAACATGCATCTTCCACCTCCCACAGAGGTATAAAGGGAGGGCATGGATCATGTGATAGCATTTCCATTATGTGTGCTGTGGACACACAGCAAATCTGAGCAGCAGAATAAAAGTTTAGTGTGAAAGACCAGTGAGAAAACCAGAGTCAAACTGGAAGGTTTAAAGAAATACAGCTTTGATAACTAGCAAAAGCATAAAAAATGATTGTTAATAACATATATTTGAGTAGTTTTTAAGAATCCATTAAAATACAAAGAATAAAAAGAGCCTTTAAAAATAAATATTTTGTCTTTCTGTATCCAGGTCTATCTTACAGCAGCTGTTTTTGAGCTTGACTTTTCCACGGTTCCTTGAAGCAGGTAAGTCAAGAATGTTAAAGAGTCAATTTTGAGTGAAGTAGAAGATAAGAATCTAGTCAGGGGACATATTTGGGTCTCCCCATTATGTCTGTGACTTAAAAAATAATGTTTGGTTATTTGTTTGTTTATTTATTTATTTATTTATTTATTTATTTATTTATTTATTTGGGTTTTTTATCAGCTGATATGGAAGATGATGATTTCGGTGCTGCCCTGCCTAAAACAAGCTGTATCACTGAGCAAACTCAGTATTTCTTTGAAAACAATGATAAATCCTTTGGTGGGATTGTAGACTGTATAAACTGCTCCAGGTAAAATTTCTTCAATATAAGTAATAACTCTGGGATTTTAATTTATTTTAGAAAACATAGGGACACTATTGTAAGAAGCAAAAAATATATTTTGGATTAATTTCACCAAACTTTCATAAGCAGATAGAGAGGAATAGAGGGAGGCAAATTGCATTCTATTTTTGTTTGTTTAGAATTAGTTTTAATTTTAATCATTCAAGAATTGTAGAAATGCTTTAGTCAGTTCTTTTGTTTTATAGTCTGTGCTCCATGAAAATTGTGTTTTTATCTCTGTCACATTTTGTTTTCTTTTAATTTATTATGTCAGCTTAAAAGCATTCTTCAATACCCCAAGGGATATGATCTTCTCTAATCTCGTTATGTATCAGAATTTTTGACGGTCAAGAAGATTATGCAATTTATCTTCTAATTTATCTTCTAGTTGATAGTGCTCATGATTTAAGAGCCGTGAGTCTTATAAAGCAAATGAAGGTATTCTATTATTTTATAAAAGAATTGCTCTCCACACATCATAAGGAGGCCTATTGAAGATGATATTTAATAATATGTGAAAAACTGTATACTTCAGAAATATAGCATCCCTGTTTCATACAAGAGCCTGCTGGGGTTTTGCATACACTTTGAGCTTCTGAAAACATCTTAGAAAAATGAATTAATAGCCAGATTTCAAACAAACAAACAAACAAAAAAAAAGACAATATTTCAAGTCAGGCAAGAAAGAAAGAGAGCTTTGGAGAATGGTGAAGACAGCCAAAACACGCAGACATTTTTTCCACTTCTGTACTTCCTCCTTCATGTTGCTAGAATACGTTGGGTTTATTTATAAACTGAAAATTACCCTGCTAACTTAAAGACCTTTTGCAGAATTATATGTACATAAAAATACTACAAATACACATCCAATACATGACATGCATACCCTATGCTTCTCACTTGTCCTTCTTAGACAGGTTTATGTTTTGGGGTTTTGTTTGTTTCTTTTTGTGGTTGGAGTTTTTTTCAGTGTTAATTGATGCTGAACTGATGTTATTTCTCAGTACAGCTACTGTGGTAGCAGTACAGAGCTAGCTATTAACTCAATTAAAGTTATTTTATGTTCTTTTCCATTTTTTTCCACTAATAAGTCCAGTTGAAAGAGGGTACGATGGAAATGTCAAAAAGATGACAAAATTTATTATAAATGTTTCTTACTGTTTGCTATTGAAAAAGATAAACAGTAGCAGGCAGACTAAATCTGTGAAGCTGGATTATTTTATTCCAATACTGTGCGTCCTTCTCAAATACGATTTTCCTTGCTTCATTTAAACATAGGTTTTTATTGGCTTCTTTTCCAGACTTTATCATGCAGAGAAGATTTCAAACACCAATCTAGTGTTCATTATTAGTGACAGCCAACTGCTGTGCCGTTCCTGTGATCCAAAACCACTGATGCAAGCAGAGAAGCCGGGTATCCTTTAAAAATCATGTAATTTAGTAGTGTGGATTGATTTTTGGCTATAAGATACTGAAATATATTGGGGGAGAAATGACCCACTTATCTATGTTATTACCATGGTTGTCACTGAAATACTTAAGTATCAGGTATTTGTGGATGATATCACAAATCATGTGAAGCAGCAGTCATTGAGGTAGAGAGCAAAGCTGTTATTTGTGAGAATTTAGACAAAAATGGGCTGACGGGAACTTAATGAAGTTTCAACAAAGCAAATGCAAAGTCTTGGGTCCAGGACAGAATAATTGCACAGCTGGACAGGCTAGGGACAGAGTGACAGAAAGATTTGCAGAAAAGAGCTGGAGGTTCATGGTGGGTAAGAAGCTGACCATGAGTTGGCACTGTGCCTTGCAGAAAAGTGGCTGATCACATCCTGGGCTATGACAGCAAGAGTGCAGTCAGCAGACTGGGACAACTGATCCATACCAACTCTTCAGCACTGCTGAGACCACACCTGGAGTGCTGTGTGCTTCCCAGGACCACACTGGCATACAGGAGGAAGTCTAGTGAAGGGCTACCAAGGAGATTGGCATCTGAGAGCACAAGCAAGGAAAGTCTGAGTGTCCTGGGTTTGTTCAACCTTTCCAAAAGACAAGGGCATGTCTGTCTAGAGAAATAAGAAAAAAAAAAGGCCAGGATAGGACTGTTTGGTCATGGAAAGTTGAGATGCTGCACTGTTGTTTAGTTGATGAAGGCACTTTGGTGTGTGCTCAGTGTCAAAGATGAACTTCGTGTGGTAACTGCATTAGCCATCAAAGGCTACAGTTCATCCTGCTGCATAGAATCTCTTCAGAGCTGGCTGGAGACATAGGTGGATTACATGCTACAAGCATTGAAGTTAAAAGCATGTGAAAGATTGTTTTAATTTACAACCACCTTCATGCCAATCTCTCTGCTTTAGCCTGTTCACTGCAGTAGGTACCTGGAGGTGATTGGTGATGGAAATACATAAAACCAACATACACATTCTAGGTCAGAAGAAATTCTCCTCAGCCATTCTCTTCTACGTAGGCTTGAGGACAGCATGCCAGAAGTGGTAAATCAGACCATAATTTGGATTACTGTGACAGAACAGGGAAAACAATTAGTAATACCTCTGTCCACATCAGGAAGTTAGTTGAGACAGCCTCTCCCACTCCTGAAAGAAAAGCAGATGGTGGTACAGATGACTGTGTTTCTTTGGCACAAGCAATGCATTCATTGCCACATTAATAAAACTAGAATTCCATCTACGCTTGGGCTGAAAAGGAAGTTACATCGAGGTGTCACCACAGAAATATGTAAACACAGCCTAATATTCTAATTGGCTTCAGTCCATGACAGTTTGATTAACTGTTTCCACTGTCTGAATTTATAAACAGCACTGACTGTAGAAAATGAAGCATGGTGGATGGGAAAAGGCACATGACTTGCATTTCCCTGTGGAGCCCAAAACTACTAGAAAGCAGTAAATGACCTCAAATGGCAGTCAGAACAGCTGGGTGGGTTTCTATTGACTAAAGGAATTATTTTATTTTTATTCAACTATGCAGTACTAAGCTATTCCCTCTTTTCTGTAAGATACATAGTGAAATGCAGATGTAGCATAACATCACCCAAGCAGACAAAATGACCTTTGGGTGCTATTTAGATGATTACTATTACATTTTGCTTCCTTTTGACTGGTACAGCTTTGCTTAAACACAGTCTCTTAGAATATTTTTCTGTTTCAACTTCCCTTTCAGTTGAGCCACAGCAGAGAAAAGAGACGAGTCTGATAATATCTGAATGAGGGCAGATGCAGATCTGTAGAAATTCCCCATCATCTTGCCTTCTCTTCCACTTGTTGCACTGAAGCTGCTGTACTACTCCATGGTAGTGCATCTACAGGATTGCTTGAAGTGTAAATTAGAGCTACTAAATAAGTTTGATTCTTTTAATAGCTTTAATATGTGTGCTACCTGGAGTGGAATAAAAAAGACTTTACATACTGAATGGTAATTTTAACAGGTTTCACCAGAAGGCTGTTTTACAGTTTGCCATATCCATGCCTTTCAAGTCTACTGCAATGACTTGTGCCCCTCATTAGCCAGTGGCACATGGGAAGTACAGTGTGAAGTACACTTTAACAGCAGCAATTACACATTTCAGAGATGTGAGCTAAAGCAGGACCTCATATATTCAGTTAGCTAATTAATAGCATGTCACTGCTCCCCTTCCTCTCCTGCTGTTCTGCTGGTAGTATGGACAGCATTTTCTCTGTCTGCCTTCATCACTGAAATGCTCACGGGATCTCAGTGGTTCTCCTGTCATTTACTACAAAGCCTACAGTGCCATGATATTTTCTGTGATATTTGGGGTAATATAAGTGTACCCATAATAGAACCAGTAGTTTTTATAGGCTTTCACTGCTATTCTTAACCTGTATATGACATTACTTTTCCAAACAAATTTCCTTGCTTTTACTGTGTATCTTCATTATAGCAGAGTAACGCAGTGGTAACATAAGCTAGAACTAATTGGCACTGTTGAAAGTTTACTGCTTTATGAAAGATTTTCTGAAATATGTATGCAATGGTAAAAAAACCAAAACCACAGTACAGAAAATGTTAAAAGACCTCAACTTTTATTTTATTTCTGTTTATGGTTCTGAAAAGATTTTAAAAAATTATGCAGGACGTTTATTTTCTTGATTATAGCAGTAAAAGAAAAGGTATTTCATTTTGATTTATCTAAATGGTTGGGTTGGTTTTCTTGAATTTGAACAAGGAACTGTAAATATTGATATTTATTTCAGTACTATCTGAATTAGCAAAAATCTTCTCTCTTGCCATGAAAATAAAAACAGAATGTTGATCCTGCTCATGTACAATGCATGAAAAACAGTGACGTTCCTTAACCAGAGAAACAGATGAAGGGCCAAATCCATGTGAAATGGTAAAACAACCTAGGTACAGAAAGGGTCCTGAAATCTGCTTTGATGAAGCCAAACAGGTAAAATTGAAGTTGTAAGACTTTCTCTTTAAAAACAATTGTAGAGCAGCTTTATACGATCAAGGAAAACTGTGTTTAAATGTACCTTGGTGCCTGGTAACCTTTTTATCACTGAACATACTGTTCACTCTAGACCATAGCCACTTTATTTCAATTAACATAAACTTAACAGCTGCTTTCTTATCTGCCTTTCCTATAACTGTTGCACTTTCACACACGATTCCCACTAAAATATCGTCAGTGAGTGTAAAACTGTTGGTCTCTTTATTGTGCTGTGAAATTCAGTTCTTCAGTGGCTGGCACAGGTAGACGATAATCTTGGCTTAGAAGTAGTATTTTTGTAGTAATGTTTCCAAATATTATTTAAAGCATTATTAAATTATTAAAATTGTTATATGTGTTTTGGGATGTTGTTTGTAATTGTACTGCCCTTAGGTCAGGTTCTTAGCAGATTTAAAAGTGCATTGCTTTACTGAAATCACCAAAACTTTGCTGTTTGATACTTCTGTATTGAATGCAATAGTTTTGAAAGCGAAAAAGTGTAACTATAATTTTTTACACATATGTAAATTAATATTCTTTCTTTGTTACCTTTTAAAGATACAAAAGATATTATGCTAAATTCAAGTTGTTCGGAATAAATTTCAAGACAAAAAGTTCTGAACAAGAAAGTCCCTGGCATTCGATACAATAAATACTTTTAAAATGCATTGCTTAATACCTCATGCAATTTCTACAGTGGAAAGATTGTCCCAAACCAGTGCACTTAGTTAGCTATAACTGCTGTATACTAAAATTTGTTCCAGTATGTTCTCTGCTTTTCTTTTTTTTCAAATTTTCTTTTCTTTCAAATTTTATTTTAAGAAAGAAGTCTTCTTACTGGCCAGCAAATACTAAATAAAGTTGAAAACCCATCCAAAAGCTATCTAGCCATTGTAAATAATCTGAACCATTCTGAAATGATTGTGTGTGAAAGTACAACTCTTGCTCACTAGCTTGATGTGCTGATCAGTGTGTAAGTCATGTGTTTTGTAACAGTGGATTGTTTTGGTTTAGTTTATTTGCAAAATTTGCTGTGAATCTCTTGCTCTTGGGTGGATGCTTTCACATTAACTCTGCTAACTGCCAGCAAACTGCATGATATCTCATCTTGTATGTCTTTTTTTCTGTGTTTTCTTTCCTTTCCTCTACTTGCTACTTTGCCCGTTATTAATAGGATCAGCCTATATGCACAACGAGTCGTGCCTCTGCCATGACGTCTGCTCCTATCTTCATTTTTCTGCAAGTTTTCATGTGGTGTGGATGGTCAGTTACTTTCTCTAATTTTTTGTTTCGTTCTTGGCTTAAAAAATTAGCAGACTTTTTTACTTACTGAGCATACAAAAGAAAACAGAATGAAGCGAGTCCCAAAAGCAACAATCTGGAGTAAATTACTGTTGCAATATTAAGGGAAATTAAATATGAAAAAAACCTGTCTGGAGCCTTATAAATCACAATTACTAAACACTCTCCCATAGAACATACAAAGACAAGGGAACCTGTTGGATTTATATGATTGACTCTGAGATTGCACATGTACCAGCTGAGTCTGCATCCTCTCCTTTAAGCATTTTTCCCTTGTCCTTGTTAAAATGAGCAGCAGAAGAAATTTTTTTCACAGAGACAAATAAAGATGCAAAGCAAATAGAAGAAGCAGCATACCTGTGAAAGTAAAGCTTTACTTAGGTGTGACAAGGATGAGTGTTATGTGTGAGTGTTGCTATTGAGAAGAGTAAGGAGTTTTCACTGCATTCGAAGGAACACAACAGGTAATGATGGAAGATAATGGTGTGCATCAATTTGGGTAAACTAGGAATTCAGTAAAATAATATTTTTTTTGCTTATTAATTTTTGGCAACCTAAACATATTAATTGCCTGATTACAGCAGACAGTGAGGTTTTTCTTCTGATTAACTATATAAGTTCCTGTATATCGACCAAGTGCAGAGTCTGGGGTTTACAACTAAAGCCTTGGCAATTAGACTGTGTTGGATTTGGTGGTGTGGGACTGTCATGAGTTACTGTGCAAGTGACATGTCTGCAAGGGGACTGCTGAGCTTAAGAGCAAAAAATGTGTGACTGAAGGGAGTTCTGGTCAACATTGTTTTGAAAACCACTAGAGGGAGATACTCCCATGTCTATCAAAGTAAAGCAAACTGAGGCAGAACTGAAAGCTTACAGGGCATTTTTCAGAGTTAGTGTAATGAAATATTGAAAATTAATGAAATATTGAAATTAATTGAAATTTAGAACAGTTATTTTCATTAATATTCTCTCTATACTTAAGGGAAGGTTCAATTAATATCTCTTGAACATTAATGAAAAAAAACTTTAAATTCTGTTTAGCAGTTTATTATTTGAGTAATTTTGAAGTTTCTTATTCTGCATTTAAATTATGTAGTTTCTTGCAAACCTAAGAACTTGCACAGCCATGGCAGAAGGTTGTAGGGAAAGGTGAAAGGCCTTTCTTTAAGCCAGTAGTATTTCACATTAAAATCTAGATTAACATCTCATGTTCTTGCTCATGCAATTTGCTCTGCACATAGATTTCTTTAATTAAAAAGCTACTGTCCAATGTACATAAAGCAGCAGAGACTCACCTTGAACTGAATTCTTTATGCCCAAAATGTGCTTTCTACTTAAGGTGGGGGACACACAGAAAATAATTTTAACTGATAAGCTTTTGGCAGCAGAAAGTTATAAAGGTAATTTTTTCATCCATCTTGTTTTTAATAACTTTGTGATTTTGGAAATGGGTTCTCTCTGGACACTAATCTGTGTAGTTATATTAAAATCACTGAAGCCAACACAGATACAATCCAGCTGATCAGGTTCACTAACCTGACAGGTTTTTTTTGCTTTTCATCAAGGATAACAAAATAGTCATTATCACTGCCTCAAATGGCTTGCTCTTACTTTGTACATGCACATCGGTTTTGTTTGCCATGCCTGAGAATAAAGAAAAGAACTGTGCAAGTTTTTAGCCCTTACTGGGAATATCTCAGGTCCATCAGCTTCCAGATACGTCAGTGGGAGCTTTGAGGGTGATTGGCAGTCCAGACAACTGGAATTCTTGATGGAATTGCCTGTGTCCCAGGCTGGGCATGGGTATCTGTACAACTTGGACAGCTTAGTCTGGTTGTCCAAAGGAGGGTTACCCAGCATTTATGAATGACCATGCATTCAAAGTGGAAATGACTCCCGAGTAAAAGCAAAGGTGTTCTCTATGTGACATGAAACATCTAAAATACATGCTTATAACAGGTATAATTTTGAGGTAATCAGCTGATATCAAAGACCAGATCAGAAGCTCTTCGGGCAGATGTTGTTTTACCCTTTTACAAGTCAGAGTAGCACAGTGGGTTCTGATGAATTATTATAATTTAAAAAACAAAATTTTAGTATATTAAATAGTTATAGTGCACTTCTAAAGGAGTAAGAAGTGTCTTTATAGCCCTGGCATATACGAGTATATATGTATTTATGGTTCCAAGTGTATTTTTAAAAATTTTAGATTGGCAGTGTCTTCGAGGAAATGCTGATATACAGCAATGAATATGTGGGTTTGATACTAAAAAATGAATGTATGGTTTTATAAAAGCATTCATTTCCATTCTGAAAGTGCTGAATAATTTTCATAGCATGTGATGCTGTAAAGCAGCCTTATCTAGAGTTGTCATAGAAAGACATGACATGAAGGAGATGACATTTGGATTTGACATTTCTCTACCTCAAGCATGCAAGGAAATTTGATGTGACTAATGCAAGAAATTTCTCATACACTTCTGGTGAAATGAAAGTGCCTCACAACAATTCTTTCAAATTTATTTTACAATTCTCTCTGTCTTCAAAGAGAGACATAATTTTGAAGACAACAAAGAGAGGACATCCCCAGCTGATCTTTATTCAGGATTTGTGTGATTAATGTCATGGGCTGGAAAATTTCAGTGAAACTGCTTAAAAATAGTTCGGTGTCTAATTGCACTAGAAGAGGTAAAGATAAGATAATGTGAAGAGAAGATAAAATGATGCTGTATATCATTGTTATAAGATACTTTAGAAGAACTCTCAAAAATAACTTCAACTGTTTCATGTTAATGTTTTCTTCAGGCTCAAGAAGAGAGGAAGTGTTTTCAAAATAGGCATTTTGAAGACCATTCAAAACTGATGTTTTTCTCTATCTGATTTTAAATTGGGGATAGAATCCCACTTATTTCTAGGGGACTGTTGATTTTTTTTGATTCATGTAAATAAACACATAATCAGATTTTCTCCTCTTTTTTTTTCTTTTATATTTTCACCTTTCCTGTAGTTTTGACAATTACACCACAAAAGAAAGTTACAGTGTGAAATTCTGTGAAGAAAAAAATTGATTTTTATAGGATTTACTGTACCTTCTTTGCCATTACTATTTTTGTCTTAGCTTAGGACATGAAAGAATTAACTGATTCCAGAGACAATATTTAGAAATTGTTCTTGGCAGAACTGCTGGTTTACCACTGCAAATTGGTCTACAAACCTCAGAAATTTAATGTGGCTTTTATCAATATGAGGTTAAAATCTCACTCAACTTGAAATATGTGTATAAACCTTGTATACTTTTGTGTAGTGCAGTCTAATGCTGTTGTTCATAGTAAGATGAAGCTTCCAAGATATTCACTACTGTTGTGAATTGTGAATCCTTTAAAATCTTCTCTGTGTGGTGTTAGGGAGAGAGAAGATACTAGAATGCTTCTTTTCAACCCAATAGGAATATTTTATTGTATGAATGATGAATTTAAGAGCAATTGAGAAATTTTGGTGTAGTTTAAAAAATATCATACTGCAAATAGAATGGAGGGTTTTTTTCAAGTACATATGGTGGTAGGATTAATTTATCAGCATAATTTGGAATATTTGGTCTAGTGCAAGATAATCTAAGTCACTCCTGTATCATTCTATATGAGGAGGCCCACTTGCTTTGTGTCCATACTGGATGCCATTTTCACTATAAAGGTATTTTCCCTTCATGTTATTCACAATTTTGTTTAAGACCTTCAGTTTACTACTTACACTCTCCAGACATCTCCCATCTGTTGGAAATTTTAAATCTCCTGCTTCGCTTTCAACTCTTTCTTCAAAGATGACTCTTCTAAGTAATTTTATGATAAGAATAATAAATACCAAGAGGTAACACTGAGTACCATTCACTGAATTCATGTGAGAGGAAACCTTTACTGATAATTCTGCTTTAATGGTAGTCACTGTGAGGAAGAAGCAACAGGGTTATTTTTAAGTGCTTTAAATAGAAATAAAGCTGCATGACAAGACACAATGCAGATGCAAATAGTGACAGAGCCAAACGAAATAAACCAGAATGTTCCGTGCATCTTGAAATCTTAGCATCCTGGTCCAAATCTGGTGCAGCAGAGTTCACTTAGGACTTCTTGTTGACCAGAAATCTCAGGAATTTTGAACTTGTAGAGTGCAATCAACCAAAAAGAAACAAAACCAGAAAACCAAACCAAACCAACAACAACAGAAAAAACCAAACCAAACAAAAACCCTAAGCCAAAACTACACAACTAAATTATAAAGCTAACACATGACAGAGATATGTCTGGAAAAAGCTACTGTTAGTAAAGAATGACAGCCAACATAAGGTATTTGCTGTAGGACAAAATGAATTTTTGTTTCTTTCTAAGGAAATTGAATGCTGATGTTTGGGGTTTTTTTGAGCCTGGGACTGTTGGGGTTTTTTTACATCCAAGGTTCTAAAGGAGATGCTTGGTGAATGCTATAATTCCTGATAATGTACTGAGTCTACTTTGTCTGCTTTATCTGATTTTCCATATTTTTCCCAAACTGTTTTGGAAGCCTACCAGTTTTAAAGAATGCATTGTGTGCAGAATAAATAACATTAAAATTCTCACCCATTAACACTGGTGCAAAGAGCTCATTGAAGGCCTTTGTTATTTCTGATAATTTCCAAATTCTGTCTTCACACCTTTGTTATGAACAAGTTGCCCTAACATCATATTTGACTTCATTGTTTGATTTAGTCAAAATTTTTTATTATCATTTCAGTGTATTCTGCAGGGAGGTTATAAAAAAACACTTTATTCCCCCCCTCCTCCCTTTATTTCCTATTTATATCTGATCTGCCATTTTTATAAACTTTCTTGTTCTTGCCCATTTGAGTAAACTTGATGTCCTGAACTGAATTCTTACAAAGCTGGGAAGTTTTGCTTAAGGAGAGCAAAATTTGCTCAAGGAAATTTGCTAATAAATTAAAGGATATTTAATGACTCTTTCTTATTTATCCTGCTTGTACTTTTTATACACACACATACATGCAAGTACAGCCCCCCTCCCCCCCAGCATTTTCTGGGGTATATTAAGTATTAATTGCATATGCCTCAGTGGCATGTCAGTCTGAAACAGGAACTGTTGACTTTCCTCTGCTTTCTGTTATAATTTTTTTTTATTTCTGTGCCAGCAGCCAGTCTCTGGTACTATTCGGATTCAGTTGTCTGTCCTTCCCTGCTCCTGTTCAAGAAGTTTTCCCAGTTGCTAATATACTTAAATTCCTTTCCACCTGCATTGGTTTCTTGCCCTTGAGGGCTTGGAATCTTCTGGAAAATGGGAAGTGTCTTTTTATACCATGGGTACAGAATACAGTGAAAAGAGAAAGATCAAATATTTTCAGCCTTCAGAGCTACCCATGAATTTCAGACTTGTCAGACAAAGCAGTGAGGGGAAAATTTTCCTGGTGTTTTAGGTACTAATCTGGGTTTGTATCAGTCTTGAGAAAGAAGATCTGAGGTGTTACAGGCTCCAGAAAAGGTACCAAATGAATTTCAGCCAGACTAATGAATAGGTCCATCATGTGAAAAGTATTAAGCCTTATAAGCAAAGTGGAACCAAGGAACAGCAATTAATGGTGGAGAGGAATGAGGAGAAGTGTGTGATTGGTGTGTGGCATAAGGAATAGTTATTGATGCATGACACAGAAGTGCACCTCAGAGAGAGCTTCAAACTGCATCAAGCATGTACAAGTAGTGCAATAGAAAATTTCCTTCTCATATTGAATAGAGTGTCAGAGGCAGAGAAAGGATTTTCATTCTCTTTGATCATAAATTCATCTGCAAACCATATCCATTTTATTGTGCAATCATTTGATGAAATGGATGTAAACATATTTTGGTATTTGTTCTCTAATCTTGATAAGTCATCTGTTCTTCTGTCTTTTCTCACGATAAAGTCATACTCAGAATCTTAAAATGAATGTAATTTTTAGGAAACTAGATGGTGTTTACTGGGGCCCCCAGGTATATTCCATAGCATTTCTTGATTGATGGTGTAAGTATCCCATCTATTGCATAAGTGTGTGCTGTAAACCTTGAAAGTATTTAATGCTCCCATGTTTGTAGTTAAAGTAATAATACTACTCTTTGTATCAAAAATCAGAAGAACTTCCAGGAATTATTTTACTGTTATTTTAGCAAAATAACATATATAAGACCAAAAATGATGCCTCAAAATGTTGAAATCTAAGCTGTAGCTTGCTCCTCAAGCAGCTTCACCGTAATTAGTATTAAATGATTTCTTCTCTTCTTGTCGACAGGAGGATTCGGCTGACTGCGGTGGGGCCTCTGGTCTGAGTCCATCACTGTGGTCTATGGTAGCAATTCAGTCAGTCCTGCTTTGGCTCTTATCTGGCAGCAGACACTGCCAGTTATGACCTTGCTAAACCAAAACCCGCGTAACTTAATCGAGACCTGGCCAAAACGATAGCCTCAGTTTCATTTTGGAAAGGGTCAGCTGCAGAGAGAGCGGCAGAGCGGCAGCGCTCGTGTCTGGTCCCCGCGCGTTGTGAGCTCCACCGAGGCACCACGACGCCTGCATGTCGGAGTGTTGGATCCCTCCCCGTGTGTGAATGCTGCATCGTCCACGCCATCCAAACTGATTTCTGTACGTGCCCCGCTGGGGAAATCTGAAACCTTTCGTTTATTCATTTGTTTGTTGTTGTAATCTTGATGACTTCATGTAAAAGGGCTCCCCTAACAATAGCTTATCTATATGATTTTCATTTCTTTTAAGCTTTGAAGATTTATATTCTTTTACATGAACAGTTGTTTAAAAACCAAAAAGAAAAAGGAAAACGTTCTCCCCAATATACATTACTAGCACCAGGATGGCTGCTTTTAACATCAGTTTTGTCCAAAGTAGTTGAGTAAAATGAAAATATTGGTCAGTCTTCACCAGAAGTTCAGCATGATTGGAATGTTTAATGATGAGTGGTTAATTCTTCCAAAATGAATCATGCAGCCAGCTAAGCTTTGGTAGGTTGATATTGTATGTAGAAAGGAAGGAAGGGAGAAAATTACTGTGTTTCAAAATACAAAGGTACTGGAGAGTGTAACAAAAAAAGTGATTTTCATCTTAAACTTGGTGTCATCTTCTGTCAAAAACAAATGTTAATTTCAATGTAATATTCACCTCCTTTTCACAATGCAGCTACATATAAAGCTAGTAGAAGTTCTTCAAAGGCTGAAACAAAAATGCTTGTGAATAAAAAATGTCTTTGTGATATTTGAACGTTGGTTTCCAGGGGTATTTTGCATGATGATGATGCTATGTTATTGTTTTTCAGTTTGTTTTCTTTGATGGTAGAGTATAGTTCATTGAAAAGATAACAGAGTGATTCTTGTATTGTGTGAGAAATTGAACATTGCAATGTGTTGCAATCAAATCATATTAAATTATACTATGAAACAGAGCTCTGAATATACTGTGCAATGAAAAAGATGAGAAAATAGGGTAAATATAGATTGTAACAAAAGGGTTGAGGTGGTTTTTTTACAGAATAGTGATCTCACATGAAAATCTGTGTACAGATATTTTAAGAATATAAAAATCAGATTTAACACATTTATTTTTGGAAGTATATGTTCTCTAAGGTTCATATCAGGTTCCCCCTTTGTTTCCTTCATATAAACCCACTCATAATATTAAAACTTACGCTGTTGCTATTTATTATTGCAAATAGCATATTTAACAGCAAAATTACCTGGTTGCTGTGATTAGAAAAAATATAAACAAATGGGGAGCCTTGAATCTATATGTATGCACATTGATACTTGATTGTGAATAATAACTCTAGAAGTTGTTTTTATACAACCTCATTGGTGATACAGGTTGGTGCAGTAAATTACAATATTACAGTGTAGCATAGTGTTGATGCAAAATATGATTTGCGCTTTTTTTTCTAGTTTTCAGAACTAAACAGTATTGCAAGACAGCTAAACCAATGAATGTGCAACTCTGCTGGTATTGTACAGTTCTGCTAACAACTGCAATATGCAAATATTAATATGGCACAATACACTAGCTCTTTAAAAAATAAAAAAAATGCAAATCATCGGTATGTATATGCTGGCAATTGATTGATATAATTTTAATCATGCCAAAAGCTTAAAAAAATGATTGGGCATGCATTAATATCCTATGAAAACTGAAGAAGCTACTCAAAGCCATGGCATGGCTTGAGCAATCAGATGTCTACTGTAGTTGTACTTATGACTGGTTCATTGTTTTTCATGTACCTTGGCTCCAGCTATGTATTTTCTCATGTTTGGGAATACAGTGAGTGAAAAAATAAATCCTGACTTTTTGTTCAGTGATAAAATCTAGTTTTAAAAAAAAAATACCTAGCAATGTCATGGGGTTAAAAGTACAAGTAACTGTTTTGGATGACTTCAGGTCCTCCTCAAGGAAGGTGAGCTAATGTTGATAATAAGGTTGAAGATAAACTTGGAGCTCTTCCTTCCAGTCATAGTGCTGCAGTTCTGTTCACCCTAGCACCAGTTACCACCTGATAAAAAAATTGGTTTGAGTGTTTCCAATGACAAGACTACATCCAGTATTTTTCCTGACATTTTATGGGAGGAGCAAGTTTTCTAGGATTAGGCCAATTATTATTGCACTCACTGCTTTTACTCTGAGGTTACTTTAAATACTCGTTGGTTTGCACTGTGCTCTTTTAATTTCATGTTAGTGTATTAAGTTCTCTATAGTTTTCACTTAGCTTCCCAAAAGAAACCCTTCATGGACAAGTTGCACTGTTTAAAACACTTTGCTTATGCTGGTAGGGCATATTCAAAGTTACTTAATAAGCATCTGATTAGAGTTTATAGGGGGAAAGATGGAACAAATTCATGCTGCCACAGGAAACATCTGTGGCTTTTGCTCTCATCCCACTTCCCTTAGAGTGCTCAAATGCAAAAGGAGGGAGAAGCCCATGGCATGCATATAGCCCTCCTGGGTGATCCAAAGAGGGACATCCTTCACCCCTCTATATGACCTGAAGAAATGTGTTTCTATATAAACACATAGCCTTCCAGCTAACATTATAACATTCTGTGTAAACAATTAGACAACATGATGCCCATCTTATTAATACTTTAGAAAGTAGTGAGTATTTTAAATACTTTAAAATTATATATTAGAATATCTCCAAGTGATGGTCAAGAGTTTTTTTAAATACCCCAATATCTGCAAAATACAAAACATAGACCAAAAATGCAATCTGAACTTCAGCTATCTCAAAATATGAATACCAGTCTGATGAAATAACTTGCATGAATAAATACAAATTCTTATGCAGAAGAATACCCTTATGCTCACAGTGAATCATTTGTCTTGTCTTTGAAAGAAGAAGCTTGATCCTAAAATTTAAATTAAAGTATTTTTAAATACGATATAATCTAAGAAGTTTTGGTTTTTAAAGTCAGATAAAAGGCTCTGTTGATGGTTGCTCAAATCCTTTAAATAGTGCGAAGGGGATTGTTGGGACTAGTTCAGTTCACACAAAAATCATGCAGTGTATTGTACATCTGACAAGTAGCCACCATTAAAGTTGTTACAGCATGGTACTGTGCAAAACACGATCTGAGGACTTAACATGAAAGGTTTCTTGCTAATTTTTTCTTTTAAACAACCAGCATTACTGCCAAAACACTGATCGTGGTCCATATTTGTAACAGGTTTTTAACATAACATAACAGGTCTGATTGACAAGATTTTTAGGTCCTGTACCTTTAAGACTTTAGTATGATCTTTTTCATGTTTCTAATGCTTGAGGCTTTACTGCTTAACTTGACAAAAACAACAGTGTTGCTGCCATTTGTAAGTTTTCCTACAATATTCCTTTTATTAACTTAAAACCTGGCCTTACTGGTTTCAAATAGGCAGTATCCCTTTTAAGTGACCTTTGCAACCCAAGTGTTACTTGCTGTGGTTGAGAGCTTTTTGCTGTCACTGAAGAGACATTAAGACCTTTTATCCCATTAACACATAACAAACATGCTTAGTATGACTTAATTCCAAAACACAACCTCAGTACCACTAATCCAAAAATTCAGATGCTAGCACACTGGTTATTAAGAAGTACATTAATGCCTACATGGCACTGCAATGCACTCGGGTGTTTTTGGAATGTCAACCTAAGGTGAAATCTTAATAGCTCCTTTCTTAGGATAAATTTTACCCTAACTTCATCAGACATCCAAGCCTTTAACAAAGGCCAGATTTATTATTATTTTGTTCATACCACAATGTTAATATTGTTAATACTCATTGTACACTATTGTAAAAAGATTAAAACAAAGCGTCTGAAAACAATTCAAGACTTTTGAAAAGTTAGCCTCATCCTCTTCCCAGCTACTTGCATCTGTCCTGTTTATGGTTTAAAAGAAAAACATCATCTTGAAGAAATATTTCACTGAGGCTAAAGGGATACTGTCTTGTTCAGATGCCATGAAATTGCGATTGTGATCTGACAAAGCTGTCTTCTCTTCTTGTGTTGTATGGAATGTCTGGATCATGCTTTCTGGGATATTTTTATTGAAATGCTCAGTGTGCGTTTCTGCAAAAAAAAGACTTGGTTGCTCTTAAGAGGCAAGCAGGTCTTTCTCCCTTTTCTTGTGTTCTCTTGACACTTTTGTGGAACTTGACAAGCCTGGAAAAAAATAATTTTTTGTAAAAATTTGTACAATAATGTTATAAAAAGTTTATAATCCTAGAACTGTTGTGTTAATTATTGTGCAAAAACAGTATATTCAGAATAAAAGTTTATCATTTAAAATCAACAACTATTTTAATGTTCATTCTGTATAATAAAAAGTGTAAATAAGAGCCTATATTGCTATATAATACTTCTGAGTTTCCTATAATTATACGTGTCTGAAGAGAGTGACTTAACGCAGGCCTTCATGGGGTTCAGAGAAGGGTGCACAGCAACCTTCATTTCTGTTTCTTTTGTGACTGTGAAAATTAAAAAAAAAAAAAAAAAAGAACAAAAAAACCCAAAACCAATGAAAACTGAGGGTCTGTAAAGCTCTCAGTAAAATAAGAGTCCGAGACAGCTGAAGTATCCCTGTTGTCCTGAAACAATGACTTTTGGAAGGGTTGCCATTTGCTAACTTGTAAACACTGATGAAGTCCAAGAGTTCATTCACATGGAGAAGCAGAGTAAAATCAGATGGCCCAGATGGGTCCTGCCCAAGCTGTTGTCTCCATCTCTGACCAAAACTGAGTCATGATTCAGTCAGCTTCTCTACTGCTGCTGTTCTTATTTAAACACTCTAATTAAAGCAGATGTATGTACCTTAATAAGCAGGCTTGGGGTGCTCAGGAAGTGCTTTGCTATGTTTCAGATTTCCTGCAGGGACAATGGCAATCTCTGTCAGAAGTGCAGGGCAGAAAGCTGCAAGTAGCAACTTCTTTAGAAGCCTGATTTTAATCCTCGACTGCCAATGTGTCACAGCCCAGAGAGAATGGCAGTTGTAAAATTCTGATGGATTTACTGAATCCCTGAGGAGTAGATAAGAGAATAAGAAATAAAATTCAGATTGTAGTGCTGCAAAATAATAGATCACCCATGTAGAAATGCTACAAGGCAGTGCATGACACTGTGCATCAACATCCAGAGATTACCAGCCTCAACTAGATTAAACATTGCTTCCTAACTACATGATTATCCCCACATGCTGAACTCACTCTATCATGTCTTCTGTAGGCTGACTGCCATTGAGATGTAGAAATAAATAAATCCCAAAAATCCCCTTCTTATACGTTTAGTTTAATTGCTGTATTACAATACACTACTCATTAAGTAGAGGAGAAGACACTCTCGGACAACACAAGGTTTTTCCCCCACACTTCTGGAACTTCTAAGCATCTTTGACCCCATCAGGTTGATATGGGAATGGCTGCACTGCAGTGAGATATTCTATATTCACCCCTTGTGCAAACCAAACCAGAATGCACTTTGCCTGTCATATTGTATTATTTTGAGAGATGACTTCACACTGTCCAATGCAGCTCTATTGCTGCTAACCATCAACAGAAATCAAGACATTATATAACACGAAAGTGCTTTCATTGTCACATCTATTAGTTCAGTGCTCCTTGAAATGCTTGACTGAATAATAGCCCACCTTAAATGGTACAATATTTTCTCTGTCTGTTGCAAAAGACATTGAGAACAATGTCTCTCTTTCCAATAATCTCTTAGGAGCTTTTGTTCACAAAATATACATGGGGAAAGAGGAAAGAAAAATGAGACTTTCAGGAGAATGATTTAATCTAAATTCTAACTGTATTTCTTCTAATTGTTATAAATATTTAATAATTTCTCTCTTTGTCAGATTGAGAATATCACATTCTTAGGAGCTGACCTTTTCTTTTGAAACCTTGTTCAGAAAACCAAACACCTTTCAGTGGAATCTTCCTTTTTAATAGAACATCCACCGTACTCTTCCTTTCAGGGTTTTGAACTTTGTTTTTCCTCTGGATGTTGCAAATCTTTCCTTGATCTCCAACTGTACATCCCATATTGTATAGAACAGGTATATGAACTTTGTAATAAGAGTTTCCTTTGGGGAAATGATAAGCATGTTTATGATTTGTGTCACCCTGCTGTAGTTGTCAATTGCTCGTGAGTTACTGTACAGTGAACAGAGTTTAGGAGCTGGTTGCACATGCTGCAAACATCTGCTTTAATGACTGGAAGGTGAATTCTGCAAAAAAATTTTCTACTGCTATTTTAGTTTTATGCCTTTTCAAAGAGAGGAGTTAACATATTAAGTAGAATCTGCATCTATTTCATCCATTACTTTTTTGTTTGGGTTTTTTTTTAATGGGCTCTTAGTGCTGCTAGTTTCTGACAGCTGTTTTGAGAAGGAAATATGAAATATATGATTTCAGTGGTATTCACTCTTCCTTTACAAGAGTATCTTTCAATTAGTTTTTTGAGCTACTGAATTAGTTATTTCATAAACAAAATAAAACATGTGGAGTTAGAAGTGAAACCTCGCTCAGAATTTCCATTTTAACTTTTGTGGCTTTAACCCAGACTCTTTTTGTGACCCAGACTCTTATGATTGCAGCTTCCGTTCTGTGGCTTGATTATTAAAAAATAAATTTTTGGAGCATTGTAATACACGCACTATGGAAATGTTAATTAACATACTTAGAACACTGAATAACAGCACAATGTTTTGGTATGTGTGGTTAGCATGTATTATTTCTGTTAGCTATTTTGAGAGTCCAAGTCCTCCACATTATGATACGGATTACTTGGTTTGTCATGTAAGCGCAGGGATCTTCAGGAATTAATTTATCCACAGGAGTTAATTAGCTTTAAGAAAAAATTACAGATGCTGAGGGTCCCCTTTGCCTAAAAAGATACTGTAATACCTAATTTCAAGTGGGTTGGAAATGAGGAGCATTCTCCTGCCCTGTTTGTCTGTAGTTTGCACAAAAGAGAAAATACTCCATGTAATGGTAGGATTTGCTTTTGACATTTTTGGGAATACCAGTCTGGGAAATAACAGGCAGGGAAACTTTGAGAACCTGAGGCTAAAATGTTTGCAGGGGGATTCAGTAGGTGAGTACTAGATGTCTGTGTTCCTGGAGACAGTGGAGATCCATGATATATAGACATGGAGTAGGGAGAACTATCCCAGTGGCCAGCCTCTGGGGGTCTTATTGCAGTTTGCATACACACCTTTCTGTCGAAATTGAGGCATGAGGGTGCTAGATCCAGAGAAGAACCAAACAGTGGAGATATATTCATTCAAAACTTGACTCTTACTGTTTTGCTGGATCAATCTAGCTCCTAGGATCAATTTCTGGGCTCAGTAGATTTCCCCTAAGGCAAGGCAGATGTGAAATCTAGGCTTGCAGCTACCAGAGAATGATACAGGCCTACCTCTGCTTTAAAGGCCATTGCTATCACACATCGTGGAAGAGATGCCAAACCCCAGGCTCTGAGAGGAGCTTGTTTGGTGCCTGTGGCTGGAGCACAGTCTGAGCCAGCACTGAATGCCTTCCAAAGAAGAGAGGAGATAGTAGTGGTGGTGAAGGGGATGTTACTCATCTTTAGCGTCATGTGCTTCCACATATAATACTTGTCTCAAAAGTCTAAAGTCTGGTTCTAGTCTTTTCTTAGTCTGACAATATATTTTCTCAAAAAGGAGAGAGAATCTGGGCACTTATATTTAGAGGCAGCAATAACATCTAGCCTACAGGTTGGATGGCTGCCTTGGTCTTGCCATCAGGCTGTTGAAGATATATCTGCAATAAGAAGATTACTAATCACCTCTAAGCATTTGTTTTCCAGTATTTTGGTGGAATTTTATTACAGTTTGTAGAAATTGTTATTATTTCATTATGAATAGGAAGAAATTAAGAGATGAGTAGAACTTGAAGATCTAGAGAGTTCTGGAAAGGTTAAATATATGTAATTATGTGCAAGGTATCACAGTTTTGTGTTTTTGGGGCACCAAAGCTTGACTAAGTTTTACTTTGGTTCATAAATGTTGTGATATGGGATTCTGAAATTAGGCAGTGTTTTTAGGATATTTCTGAGAAGGGTATTTATGTCAGTAATCACTTGAACTTTGTGATTTTTTATATTTATGTCCAGTTCTAATCTACCAAGTCATACAGTGTCAAGCTTTAAAATCAATCCTTCATTTTCAGTGAATGGAATGTCTCACCATCCACAAGGAAAGCAACTGTGCTGAATCTAAGCATTCAGGATTAGGAATAGGAAGTATTATTGACCCCAGATTTTGTTTTAGTAGACTATTTTATGGTTTGGAAAATATGTTGCTCATTTATTAATCCAAAAATTTTCTAACCAGTTGTGATGGTATCCAACCTTGCAGAAGCCTGTAGCTGAGGTAGCAGCATGGAAGAACAGTGGTGACAGATTGCTTGTATTTCAGTTGGACATTGCTTTGACTCTTGGATCCTGGTGTAGTTCAGGGAGTTTCCTTTTCTCAAACCTGACTTACTGTGTGACCAGAACTGTGAGGGTAATATGGCCAAGAGGAAAGGAAACTGTGGCTAGAACATCCTGCAGAGAGGGTAGGTCTGGCACCACAGTCGTGCCTCCTGCTCTCCCCAAGGGGCACCCACCAGGCTGAGGGGATTGCTGAGCAATGCCAGCACTGCCTCATGGTTCTCTGGGGGTGTTGGGAAGAGCTTTGCACCTAAGTGGAGCAAACTGGTGTGTCTGTTTCCATCTCCATTTATTAGAAGCAAGAAATTCAACAAACTACCTAATATTTGAGCTGTCAGCTGCCTAAAATTTCGCTGAGAAAAATTGTAAATCAGAAGCGATACATTTCAAATGCTTCCACACCTCTTGGGCAATGTTAGTGTTAAAATAAGATTTTGCGGTATTAAGATCTTGGGGGTAAGATAAATATTTCTATGCCTTTTAGATGCTACCCATGGGCTTCTAGCAACCTGTCAGTGTGCTTTGCTTTCCAAGGTCAAAGAGCCCACTGTGTTTTATTGTGGCAGATGACATGAGTAAAACTGTGCTTTAAAGCAGCTTGCATGTAAGGCCTCCTTTGCAAAGCGTGAAGGAGAACCTATAGTGTGATATTTGATCTTTTAGAATCTCTAGTTGAGTGAAATGCCTTAAATAGAAAATAGGCCTGTTCTAAATGAAAACCTATCCTGGGCACTGTGCAGATAGGCACCTTTATTGCTTCCAGAAGAACTTGTCTCATGTAAATGGATATTCTGTTACTAGAGAGGTCTTTTTTAAAAAAGGTTTAATAGCCTTTTA